GTGTGTGGTTTTTTTTTTTTGTCATAATGATGGAAAACTGACAGAACAGTACTGGAAAAAAAGGTATTAGAGATAACACAACAATGTAAAAAAACCAAAGTTAGTATAGAGGTCATAAAAGGCATACTACCCAAGATTAAATAAAAATCTAGGACCTTCTAGAAATAAAAATGTGGTCACTAAAATGGAGAAAATCTTCAATGGACAAGTTCAATGAATAAGATAAAGATAGGCACAACTGGAGAACTTACAAAATATATGATAGAACAAAGGAAGTTGTCAAAGAGATTTTAAAAAACTAAAAAAAAGAAAAGATTGAGGCATGAAGTTCCAATATAGAGGCCAAATTCATGCCTAATAGAACCCGTAGGCAGGTGGAAAATGAGACAGAGGCAATATTTATAGAGATAATGGCGGATAATTTTCCAGAGTAAAGAAAATAAAGACACCAATTCTCTAATGAACAAAACCAGATCTAAACCTAGCCTCATTGCGGTGAAACCACAGAGCATTAAATACAACAAAAAGGTCTTCAAAACCTGGGTGCTAGTGGCTTACACCTATAATCCTAGCTCCAGATCTAAGGATCAGGGTTCAAAGCCAGCCCAGGCAGGAACGTCCATGACACTCAGATTTCCAATTAACCACCAGAAAACCAGAAGTGGTACTGTGGATCAAAGTGGTAGAGCACTAGCCTTGAGCAAAAGAGCTCAGGGACACAGTGCGCAGGCCCTGAGTTCAAGCTCCATGACTGACCTCCTTTCCCCTCTCCAAAAAAGAAAAAAAAAATCTCTAAAACTCATTGTGACTACTTGACTTTGCAAACCATGAAACCTGCTGTTTCCAAAGTCTCCCACATAATATACTACATGTCAAAGATGAAAGTCATGTTATTTATACACATGAAAGTCTTGCTTTTTGTTTTCTACAAATCAATAAACCTTTAAAGGATAAAATGCCGATAGCCATTTAGCTGACATGCAATCCTTCGTAATTGTGTTACTAATAAGTAAGACTCTGGTGATCTTTATGATATAAACCATTTTCCTAATAGTGGCCTAGCTTTACTGACTTTTAATTTCCTTCCTCCCCATCGACTATCTGAGACTATTCCTATAATTGGCATGCTGCTCTAAAGTTTGGAATGAGAAGACATATTGGTATGCATCTTTCTGATTTTCTCTCTCATCACACCTTTCACTGCTGGCTTATTTTGGGTATTAGTGATTGAACTCAGGGCCTCCCACATGTGAGACAAGCACTCTGTCGCTTGAGCCATACCCTCAGTCCTCTTCTTTATTGCTTTGGAGATAAAGGCTCACTAACTACTATCTGGGCTGGCCTTGAACTCACCATCCTTCTGTCTCTACTTTTCAATATCTGGATTACACAGGCACGAACTACCATGCCTGGCTTCTACTCATTCTATGTAGAGCTACAGGATACTGGATATATTTGTCTATACTGAAAGGGATTTGCAAGGCTTTGGTCAAAGACCTGCTTCCTATCCAGGTTGAGCTAACTGCAGAATCCAGGAGCAGAGATGATGTTGGTCTGACCTGGGGGTTGTGTCCCTGGGTGAGACCTTTGAACAAGACCAGCTTCAGAACCGTGTCTTTGTCTCTCCATTGAGGCTAAAACAAGTGGTTATATAATTTGGGAAATTACTAAGCTTGTCAAGGTCAGAACTTGTGGAACTCTACTACTGGCAAGCTATTTAGATTTACAACACTTGGTTTGTACTCAACTCTGTGTGACCCTAAGTAAAATCATCTGCCATTCCATTTCTCTACTGTAAAATGAAGAAGATGCTGTCTGCTTTACAATGTGATTTTGAGGTCCATAAGCCACAACAGACGGGAGGCAGCTGATAGTGTAGGCATTAGTTATTTATTGGTAACAAGGAATATTGTCATTGTTAATATTGTTATTGTTATTATTATTGTAGTTTTCAAATTTCAGTGTGTATCAGAATCACCAGGGAGCTTGTGATATCACTAATTGGTGAGCCCTACCTCCAACCTATCTGACCTAGTAGATCCAAGTAGATCTAGTAAATCCTACTTGAGATACTGCCTTTTCTTTCTATTCATTTATCTTTGTGATGTTGGGGATGGAGCCCAGGGCCTTTTATGCATGATAGGCAAGCACTCTATTACTGAACAACACCCTAGCCGCTATTTGTTTTTTCAGTAAGTTTTCAGGTGACACTGGACTCCTGGTCTGGGATCCACATTGAAAGAACCACTGCTGAACTGAAGTTACCTCCGTGCGCACCCTTACCGCATTATGAACTCCTTAAAGCACAGTCGCAGCTTGTTGTGATGTCGATAGAGTTTTGGGTCAGCTGGAATTTCAGCCAAGAACACTTGGGCTACTTCCAGTGGTCCCTGAGGGAGAAGAAAGTAAGCAAACGATGCTGACATTGGAAAGAAAGTTACATTGCTTGGGAGAAAATGTTGGAGGGAGTTCTTAGGTTGAACAATTCATTTTGTAGTTTGTCTAAAACAAACAAACAAACAAACAAAAATCCCCAGACAATCAAGAAAGTCTTGAGCTTCTCAGGAAAATGATTCTTAGGAGGAACATAGGAGTTTTTGGAGAATACATTGGTAAAAATGTATTTTTCTCAATCCTATACCACTACCCATGGTTTTCCTCCAAACATAAAGGTAGTACAACTACACTGAAGAAAGAATGTTCAAATTGGGGATGGTCTTGATGTCCTAATTCATATTCACCTAGCTATATGTCCAACACTGATGGAGTCGCAGATCTACGGAGTACTTATCTAGCCTGTGGTTGAGTACTTACAAAGTTTCCTTTTTCATCTGATGGTTGGGACTTACAATAGCAATGTTCTCAATGTCTTTATCTTGGAAACATAAGTCATGTCTCCTCTCTTTTTTCCTGAACTTTCTGTCTCCTTCTCCCTGGTAATGGGAATTGGGCCCAGGACCTATGCCTGCTAGGGAAGCATTAGACCTCTGGAGCCATACCCTCAAGCCTCCTGCTTCACATCCTCTGCCTCTAGCTGGAATGACAGCGCACTTTCAGATGGAGGACGGGCTCAAGGAGGAAAGAGTTATGAGGTTCATGGAAGTTTTGAAGGTGGATGTGTGGGCATAAGTAGATACAGAAGCAATATTTTGTTTTGTTCTGTGTTGGTCCGTTGTGGGGCTTGAACTCTGGGCTTGGGCGCTGTCCCTCAGCTCTTCAGCTCAAGGCGAGCACTCTACTGCTTGAGCCACACTGCCACTTCCAGTTTTCTAGTGGTTTATTGGAGATAAGAGTCTCATGGACTTTCCTGCCCGGGCTGGCTTTGAACTGTGATCCTCAGATCTCAGCCTCCTCAATAGCTAGGATTACAGGCATGAGCCACCAGCGCCCGGCTTTATAGAAGCAATATTAAGGGGTCCCACTGGATATAGAGTTTACTAAGAAACCTTCTGCATAGGGTGTTTCAGTCTTGTACCTTCTTCCATCTTGAGTGTGCCTTAGCTCCATACTCAGCCCAAGAGTTAGCAGTCTAACACATCTGAGAAGATCTAGTCTGGTTGAAGTGGTCCAGGGAGCCCAGTCCCAGGTTGCTACTGGCCAGGCCCTTGGGATATAGAGTACATCTCTCTGGTGATTGATCCAGGAGCTGAATGATCCAGGCCCTTTCCTTCTTTGCTTACAGGTATTTTTTTAGATTAGCCCCAAGCTTGTAATTAATAATTGTACCTAAGACACAGAGTAGCACTCAGCACTCTTGAACAGGATCATAGATTTGGGCCAGTTCTGGGCCTCAAGTACTTGTCTAAGAAAAACAGTACCTTCTTAAACTTGGTGCTCTCTTCTCTAGGGATTTCTTTGCTACCTGGAGTTGTGAAGTGGACAAGATGGCTTCCCGAAAGAATTCTACATTGTTCAAGTGCTGAGGCTAAGTGTAAGAATAGTATTCCTAGGTACAATCGATTCTTGAAGAACCCCAGCAAGAAGGGTACAGAGTAGTCAAAATCCTACGCATGGTGGGACCAGCTGGCTCTGCTCACCTGGTTTACTGTGGCCCCCACAGAGCCCTGCAGCACCATCTGAAGCATCTTTGCATCAGGGGGCTCCTGGTGAATGGCCACCGCTAGCTGAAGGGTCTTCTTCTTCATGTCTTCAATGGCAACTTCAATCGGAGTCAAAACAAGCTGAACACAAGACATGATTGTAGTAAGTCCTTGTCTGCTCTCACATGCCACAGACAAACCCGGCCTAAGGCAGAGAGGGGAGCTGGGTTTGAAGGAGTAGCTAAGGGAAGATGGTGAGTCATCTGAACTGGTTAAGAAGAAAAGGCCTCCTATGTCTTGAATGATTCTATGTCCGGAGGATTGTACACATGTACACACATACACACGTACACACATACACACATTTATTTATGTTAGTCAATGGGCTTTAACTCAGGGCCTGGGTGCTGTTCCTGAGCTCTTTCACTCAAGGCTAGGATTCTACCACTTTGAGCCACAACTTCACTTCTGGTATTCTGGTGGTTAATTGGAGATAAGAGTCTCATGGACTTCCCTGCCCTGGGCTGGATTTAAACCCTGATCCTCAGATCTCAACCTCCTGAGAAGCTAGGACTACAGGTTTGCACCACCAGCATGACTGTACATACTATGATGTGTTGCTTTAAACTATCTTCCCGTTCTCTCCATTTTGCAGTCAAATGAAAATTTAAATGCTAAGTTTCACACAGTGACCCAGGGAGTAAGTGGGAAAACCTTACTTGATCACACCCGTGTCTACAGTCACAGCCTGCAATCTTTCTATGCTGTCAGATTGCTTTTCCTATTACTGAACAAATCAGTTGTTATAATGGGGAAGGGAAGCACTCAACATGTTTCTCCCCAGGACCACTGGCATTACCTGGGGAATCTCCAACTCTGCTGGAAGGTGATTCTGCATCAAGGTTAATCCCTCCTGCCGGGCACTGGTGGCTCATGCCTGTAATCCTAGCTACTCAGGAGGCTGAGAGCTGAGGATCGCGGTTCAAAGCCAGCCCGGGCAGGAGAGAGCGTGAGACTCCTATCTCCAATAAACCACTGGAAAACCGGAAGTGGCGCTGTAGCTCAAGTGGTAGAGCGCTCGCCTTGAGCTGAAGAGCTGAGGGACAGCGCCCAGGCCCAGAGTTCAAGTCCCACGACCGACAAAAAAAAAAAAAAAAATCCCTCATTGCTAAGTTCTGCTGCTGTAGGGTCCTTCCTGGATATGATATACTGAGTACTGCCCAGGCCTCTCCTATAGCCAGATTTAAATGTTCAACTCCTGACCTCCAATAGCTCAGAATAGGGCCCTATTTGGAGATAGCATTTCAATTAGGTAATTGAGCTGAACTGAGTTTATTAGGGACCTAACTGGTTGACACAAGTGTGTAAAGAAGGAAGGTGCCATGAATAATCTCAAGGAGAAGAAGCCAAGGAGACAGGCATGAACGAATTCTCCCTCCCACTCCTCAAAAGGAACCAACCCCACCAACACCTTAATTTGGGACTGCTCAGCCTCTTGAACTATGGGGTCACACACATCTGCACTTTAGGCTCTCCAGTGTATAGTATGTATAGTACTTTGATATATTTCCTTAATGAATAGCCAAGAAGAGATGTGAAAATATTTTAAAATCACAATGATTTTGCTCCAGTGCTGTGCCTAGAAGACATTAGTGCTCAAAAGTCCCAAGTAAAAAGCAGTGCCTTCTAAATAAAGTTTCTCTGGACTGGGTTCCCAGGCTTCTCTGGCTTCTGCAAAGTCTCCTTGGGGGGTGGGTGTTCACTAGCTCAGTGTAAGTTGGGGGGACTCCTTTCCACAGTCTTCAATCCCTGGGGCTCTGGCCTGATGGAGTAGATTGTCCCCAATCATCCTCGTGGTACTTGTTAATGTCCTAATCTAATTAAATAATGCACAAACTGATGAATTATGGGTGTGGAAAGAAGAGTCATTTCTACAAAGACAAGTTAAATGCTTGGGAAAGATGTAAAAGTAAGTTGTGATAAAAATTCCTATCACATTAGGTAGAAGGCTAGGGTCAAAAACCTAAAAATGCAGAATTCTTCTGTTCTCCTAGTGTTTATTAGCAAGGCTCCTTAAGGCCTCCTTCTGCTTTGCAGAAAGCAAAACTGAACATCATGGACAATACACGATGGGTGTGGTTGATACAAGAAAGACAATGCAGAATTGTGATTCTCAGCTCATAATTGCAACAAGGCCCCATATAAAAGAGATGGACATTGTAGGTGTTTTAAAGAAAATGACAATGTTGATGGTATATATAATTTTGAAAGATTCTGAAGTTGGAGAGGCTTTCTTGATGGTTCCTATTAAATGAATAAAGTCTTCTATTTGCTAGGTGCCAGTATCTCATGCCTGTAATCCTAGCTACTCAGAAGACTAAGATCTGAGGATCAAGGTTCAAAGCTAGCCTGGGCAGATAAATCTGATAAATCTCCTATCTTCAATTAACTATCAAAAAGCCAGAAATAGAGTGGCTCAAAGGGCAGAGAATTGACCTTAAGCAGAAAAACCAAAAGAAAAGCATGTGGCCCTGAGCAGTTTAAGTAGCAAAATCTTTCAAATAAAATGATATAGTGTATTTACACATCTTTTCTATACTTTAAAGCATCTCTAGATTATATACAACACTAACACAGTGCAAGTACTATGTGAACAGCTGTTATACTGTATTGTTCAGAGAATGACAAGAAAAACAACTGCATGTGTTCAGAAATATTTTGTTAAAACGATTTCAGTTCACGGTTGACTGACTTCACAAATGTGAAAGAGCCAAACAGATATATTGTATGTGTTCATAATTAAATTAAATGGTTTAAATATTACATATTGTAATTAAGTATGTAAACATATTGACCGTACAGCTATGACTTTACAGTGTTACATGTTGAATGAAAATAGTGCTATAAGACATAGTTGCCTACGCTGGGCACCAGTGGCTCCTGCCTGTAACCCTAGCTACTCAGGAGGCTGAGATCTGAAGATCACAGTTCAAAGCCAGCCAGGGCAGGAAAGTCGGTGAGACGATTTCTAATTCTAAAGAGCTGGAAGTAGAGAGGTAGCCCAAGTGGAAGAATGCCAGCCTTGAATGTAAAAGCTCAGGGACGATGTCCAGGCTCTGTATTTAAGCCCTAGAACTGGCACAAAACAAAACAAAACACAGCTGCCTAAATAGGACTCCTTGGCCCCCTGAGGTTAACTCTAATGACATTTCAAATGCAATCGCTTTAGACCGCACTGCAGTTTGAGCGAGGGAACACTCCGGCTTGTGTTCTGCAGGAAGTCACCAGCTGGCCCTTGATGCCCAGACATTACCTCCTCCTTGTGGATGACGCTGATCCTGGTCTTGACGTAGGGGAAGGCGTGCATGGTGGTGAGGATCGTGTTCCTCCGGTGCTGTTCGTGCAGCTCTCCGCGAGGCCGTCCCTCCAGGGTGAAGGGCGTGGTGTACATGAACCTGCGCAGGTTGAAATTCTTCTCAAAGGACGTTACCCTGTCTTTCATCTCATACTCATCAAAGTAGGGCTCCACAAAAGTGATCTGTATATAGGCCTGGGGGGGGGGAGAGGGGAGAGGAGGGAGGGGAGGGAGGAATGGGTGAGACATTCTGCAAACACGACCCCACAACCCCAGCGCATCCCCAAAGATACCAGGGCTGACTGTCCTCGGTGGGAATTCAAAATCTGCCATTCTTCTCTCCATCCCAGGAGGAGAAAGACCAAGAAGAAGGGAAGGAAGGCGTGTTTGCAAACCACTTTCCTCCACACAAACTTTCCTCTCCGGAGCTACCATGACATGGAGACACTCAAGGGAGACTAAGAGAGCGCTAACACCAAGTGTTGGCACAGAGGAAGAGCACTGACAAAACCTACCCGCTCCCCCCGCCCCCCGCCCCGTGCCTTCCCTTCATTTGCACAAATGAAGACTACTCAGCACTGAAAAGGGAAGTACTCCAGCATGGATGAATCCCAGATGGGTATTTACAAACACTGCTTGGCTGCATTTATTTATTCATAATGAATAATCTGTTCTAGAAAAGGCAAAGCTGTAAATATAGAATATAGGCATGTCTATCAGGAGATACAAGTGGAGACTGCAAACAGGTACAGGAAATATTTGAGCAATGGAACAAAATGTTCTACATCTTACCATAGTGGTATGGTATAGATACGTGCGTGTTTGTATACAGATATGTGTTATATATACATATATCAAATATATATATATATATGTGTGTGTGTGTGTGTGTGTGTGTGTGTGCGTGTGTGTCAGAACTTTAGAAATAAACACCAAAGTAGTGAATTTTTATTACATATATTTCATTTAAGTATATGCAATTATTAATGAAGATTTCTATTTTTTGGTCCATCCTGGGGCTTGAACTCAGGGCCTGGATGCTGACCCTGAGTTTTTTGGGATTTTTTGTTTTTTCTCAAGTCTACTGTTCTACCACTTGAGCCACAGCTCCACTTCTGCCTTTTTGATAGTTACTTGGAGATAAGAGTCGCATAGACTTTCCTTCCCAGGCTGGCTTCAAACCTCAATCCTCCCATCTCAGCCTTCTGAATAGCTAGGATTACATGCATGAGCCACCAGTGACTGGCTGAAGGAGGCTTCTTAAAAACAAACTAAAGAAGAATGGCAGTGAGTACTGACTGGGCAGAACTACTGACCTCAGACCATAAATCACTACTTAGTATAATGAAATCTGGTTGTCATTCTGGAGTCAGGTTCTCATTCTGCGCTCTTATGACCTACCTCAGGGATCTTAATGGGGAGAGGGCCTCTAGTATTAGAGAGGTTGCCATGGGTTTCCAGCCAGGTCTCTCCTCCAAAGGAATCCAAATGCCAATTCTATCTGAAGCTCAGTTCAACTCATCACAGTTATTGCTTTCCATCCCAGGCTAAGGACTGTGTGTTAATGAGCAAGTTTTCTGACACACACAGAAAAACAAACTCTTCAATTTGGCCAGTTCCTCTTATTTGCACCATCTTTGCAGAAGGAAGGGAGATGTTTGAGTCTTTTATTTTGCAGGTCTACCAGATGCTCAATGGCCATCAAATCCAGTCCTTAGTAACACCTTGCACTTAAGTGACCTATTTCCCACATTTTAGAACCTGTCCTCTGCCTGGCTGTATACAATAAAAAGTAGGTCTGGGCTTCGTCCCTGGTCCCTGGTCTAGAGCTTCAGGGATTAGATGGTCTTGATCATGCTAATGGAGAAGCTTCTGCAGTGTTTCTGCTGGTCACAAGTGCTTAGAGGGTTGGTACTGTGAGTGAGCCTGACCAACTGAGAGCAGGGGTAGTGTTATGTTTTATCATGTGTTCACACAGACATAGTTACCCCTCCTTAGTAACTACGTTCCTGGCAAAGGACTTTCCAGCAGCCATTTGGCAGAATGTGGCTAGGTGAGGCTGCCCGCTGGAATGTGGGTTTCTGTGGGACCAGGTGGGGCTATATGGATCAATTACAGAAGGCCCACAAGGTAGAAATTGCACACCTGGCCCTGAGTGGATGTCACACCTCCCTATCCCCTCCCTCCCTTCCGCCCCCCGCATTGATTTTCTGTTTATGTGTGTAACCAGCTTGTATAAAACCCAGCTCCCCTCCTTGGTGATCCAAACCCTTTCTGACACTGGTCTTGAGTCCCTGACAATAATATGCCTTTATCCTCTCCGAAAAGTGGCCTTGATCTTTGCTGGTTAGATTGCTGTAATATTGAGGCTGGAACTCAGGGCCTGGGTGCTCTATCTAGCTTTTTCTGCTCTAGACTGGCAATCTACCACTTGAGCCATAGCTCTATTTCTGTTTGTTTGGTGGTTAATTGGAGATACAAGTCTTATAGACCTTCCTGCTCAGGCTAGCTTCAAACTGCATTCCACTTTGGGATTATAGGCCACTGATACCTGGTGTGACTGGTTATTTTGGAGATAGGGTCTTGTTTTATGCTCAGGCTGGTCTGAGCTACAGTCCTCCAAGTTTTGCTTTACTGTGTCACTGGGGATGGCAGGTAGGCCCTTATGATGCCCAGCCATTGGTAGGGATGGAGTCTCACAAACTTTTATTCCCAGCCTGGCTTGGAAATACAGTTCTACAATCTCCCAAGTAGCTATGATTACAGGAATGACCCACTGAGCCTGGCTGAGAATTGTTTTTTTTTTTTTTAAAGACATGTTTGAAATAGAGAGTTTACAGATTTCGTTGGCAGAAAACAGCAGTGATTCATTGGCATGGGTGTCTGCAGATGAGCTTCCACATTGGATCTGTTCCTTGCATCATCTTGAAAAGTTGGTAAATATTTCCATGCCTCCATTTTCTCATCCAGTTTTATATTGGAACAGCCAAACCTATTCAGGGCTACTGGAGGTTGAAATGAAGGGCGAATGTAAAAAGGGGAAGGCAGTGGTGGTACACAGGTGGTATTTAATAAGCGAGAGCTCCTACCACAGTTCCTGTGAAGTATGATTTCTTTAAGACCCTACCAACCAGCAGCAGGACCTAAGAAAGTGTTTGGTTGCATGTAAATGACAGACAGAAGGGAGCAAATAAGGGGGGAGGCGCTCAGAGGTGGTTAATTTTTCTTTAGAAAGATCTTTAGAAAAATCTCTCCATACCTTGTTAGGATCCAACTTGGTTTTGTCCACGGGAGTAGAGTCTTTTATCACTTCCACAAATTCTGCACCAAAACACTGGCCATAAAATCCCTAGAAAAGAGGAACCATTAGGTTATAAAGGTCGTGTAAGTGCGAGTGAGTGTGAGTGTGTGTGTATGTGTGTGTATATATAGGGCTTGAACTCAGAGACTGGGCACTGTTCCCTGAGCTTCTTTTTGCTCAAGGGTAGTGTTCAATCACAGCTCCATTTTTGGCTTTTTTTTTTGTGGTTAATTGGAGAGAAAAGTCTCACAGGCTTTCCTGTCTGGGCTGGCTTTGAAGCACAATTCTGAGATCTCACCCTCCTGAGTAGTTTGATTACAGGCGTGAGTCTTTAGCACCAGGTTAAAAAGGTCATTTTTAACGCAAGGCAACTCTTCATCTTCTCAGAAGTAGACTGAATTTGGAATAAGAACAAGAGAGAAGCTGTGCATTGATTACTGAGAGTCCTTCTAAGCTATGAAGCAAAGTGCAGCATTTCCTGAGACATAAATGAAGATATAAAGAAGTCTAGCACCATCCATTAGTCAATGCTTCTCCACCGTATATACACTGTCTTGAATTCCCCCTCCATCATCAATGACACTACTTACTTCTTGCGTTTGGTACCCAAGGGGCTTGGCAGTTACCACTGTTGTCACAAATGTGGCAAGCCATAAACTACAAGAAGATAAAATCCACACCTTGAAATTCTTAGTAAGGGGACACAGTATGAGAGAAACAAGTGGTCTCGGTGAATGGCCAACTTTCTTTCTCATGAACTGAACAATGGGGCATGTTTGCCCAGGTCTTCAGGCCATGGCCTCTGGATGAAATCTGCTTGTCTCATTTGGCAGGGATGAGCAATGCCTGGAGCAATCAGGCAACACAAGAACTTATCATTTTCCAGTCCTACGAGGCCACACTCAAAGAAATAGCAAACAAGAACTATAGTTTTGGTTCTTGTCAGGTCAGGGACTTCATCCTGAGTAGGTTTTATTTTAGGGGTTACCCTTTGGTTTTCTTCTTCATTGTCATGGTACTGAGGCTTGAATTCAGGGCCTGGGCACTGTCCCTTAGCTTTTTTTGCTCAAGGTTGGCATAATACCACTTGAGCCACACAGCTTCACTTCGGGCTATTTGCTGATTAATTAGCAATAAGAATCTCACAGACTTTCCATGCCTGAGCTGGCTTTGACCCATGATCCTCAGATCTCAGCTTCCTGAGTAGCTAGGATTATAGTCATGAACCACTGATGCTTGACTGATTTTATTTTTTTATTTTTATTTTTTGTCAGTCGTGGGGTTTGAACTCTGGGCTTGGGTGCTGTCCCTGCGCTCTTCAGCTCAAGGCAAGCGCTCTACCGCTTGAGCCACAGCGCCATTTCCGGTTTTCTAGTGATTTATTGGAGATGAGAGTCTCACAGATTTTCTTTCCCCAGGCTGGCATTGAACCACAATCCTCAGATCTCAGCCTCCTGAGTAGCTAGGGTTAAGGCATGAGCCACGGGTGCCTGGCTTTGATTTTTTTCATTTTGTAATGACTCATTCTAACTTGTTTTTGTAATTGTATGAGTCCACACCCAAAAGGACTTTGCTCACCTCCAGTCTATGTGAGATCTCGGGAAGTTTCGTTATAGCAGGCTCTTTGTAAATAAATTCCTGTTCATCCAAATCACCGAATTTGGATCCATAGAAACCAACACGGAAATAAGTTCCAAACATTCTCTTATGATCCTGTTCAACAAAAGAACATTTCTCTTTGAACATGATGTATGAAGATGCATTGGATTAAAAGGGTCTCTTACTGTGCTACAGACAATTTGTTCTTTTTTGGTTTTTCTGGTCCTGGGGCTTGAACTCAGAGCTTGGGTGCTATCCCTGGGCTTCTTTGGCTCAAGGTAGCACTCGACTACTTGACTAGTTCATTGGAGATAAGAATCTCACACACTTTGCTGCCCAGGCTGCCTTTGAACCATGATCCTCAGATCTTAGACTCCTGAGTAGCTAGGATTACAGGTGTGAGTCACCAGTGCCTGGCCAGATATTTTATTCATATAACTGATATAAACAGAAATCCCTCTGTCAGGCAAAGTTAGTATTTTAATTAGCTTTGGAAATTATACCAAAAGAAATCCCATGAAAGGTTTCTGGGACTTCATGTTAAGATCATTTGAAAGATCTTCATGTTTTCTGCCTATAAAGTGATTCAAGTTGCTCCTTTTACCCCCAGCATTCTGGACCTCTGTCCCCTTATAGCCTTCTCTTTAATGGGCAAGAGCTACAGCAATGATGAGCTCAAGGAAAACCAGTCTCGATAGGGGAAGTGGGGCTGAACAACTCTGACACCGGGGTACCCACCACCAGGTAACAGCACCTACTGACCAGGATCTCTGGCTACCTTGTTAATGATGTTGTCAAAGGCCTTCTGTAGCTTGTCATGCGTGGAGGTCAGCTTCCGGAAGTCCCGATGAGCTTCCAGAATGGGAATGACCAGTTTGTAGACCTCGTTCACCATCTCGTACAGGCCTCCCTGGGGAATAGAACCGAGAGAACCGAAGCGAATTTACTGCACTGGCAACTTGAGGACAATCCGTGTTTATTATGCAATCAGGACACTAGAGAAAGGACTTCAGATTGTACCACCACAGTATTTATTTTTTTTCTGTGCCGATCCTGGGGCTTGAACTCTAGACACTGGACTTTTTCTGCATCCTAAAATAGAATTTGTGAGGAGAGGGAGGGAGAAGATAGTTAAAACAATAATTAAAATAGAGAGACATTATTGGGAGAAAACTTGGGAGATGAAAAGTAGAAAATAAGACCCAATCCAGGGATGAAAACAGAACTGGGTGAGCTAAGTAGAGGGCGTATTCAGAGTGTACTTGGCTTGGCATATGGGGAAAGAGGGAGATGATTAAAATCTAGAAAATGATGCTCAGTGACTAGTTTAACTTGTCTTCTTGAATTAGGGATGTTTAGGCCCAGATTAGGTTCATGGGAGGAATCTCAGGGTTCTCTGCTCAACAGTTTTTTTTCTCTTTTCTTTTCCTTTTCCCTCCCTCCTTCCCTCCCTCCCTCCTTCCCTTCTTTTCTTTTCTTCTTGCTTACTTCCTTGCTCTTTTGTGCTGGTGCTGGGGCTTCCACACAGGGCCTGAGCACCATCCCTTAGCTTTTTCACTCAAGGCTGGTGCTCTACCCCTTGAGCCACAGCTCTACTTCAGGACTTCTTTGGGTGATGAATTAGAGATTAAAAAAAAAGAGTCTCACAGACTTTCCTGCTCAGAAAAACCTTGTTCCTCAGACCCCAGCTAGGAGATGACAGGTGTGTACCTCATTTTTATGAGTTGCCCCGACCTACAGTGTTGCTGGAATTGGTTCAGTGGTAGAGAGAGAGAGAAAGAGAGAGAGAGAGACAGACAGAGACAGAGAGACAGAGACAGACAGAGAGAGGAAGCATGGATCTCAGTCCTTCTTCTCGGGGTGGCTCCACCCCAGTATTTTTTTTTTCTATGAGGTCGTGGGAACATGTCTCATCAGCTTGTGTAACCCTGGGCAAGCCATTTCACCTCTCTGAGGCTTGGTTTCTACCCCTATTAAAGGGAAATAATACTGTGAAACTGCTGGCCAGCCAATGAGCAGGCAGCGCAAACCAGCATGTTCCCTTGATGAAAGGTTTTCTCACCTCCCTGGCAGAAGTGATGTAATTTGTGGGCATCAAAGTCCTCACTGGGCCCAGCCAGGGCACCCCACCAGGCCCTGCCCTGAACACCCGGCCCCGGGATGCCCTGTAGGCACTGACCGTGCTAAAGAGCTCCGCAGCCTGCTCCAGGAGCCCCACGAGGCCGCTCTCGGTGAAGTACCGGCCCGAGCACACCCCGTCTTCATCCGGCGACAAGGTGTCATCAGAGACGGCAGACTCCTCCAGCACGTTAGAAGAAATGTTCTGCAAGAGATCAAGCTATGACCTCAGAGACCAGGGGAGGAAGGAGGAAGCCAACACTTCAAGAACCCCACCAAGGCTGTGATTACCACAGGCCCATAATTCCACACTGAGCAATGCATCTGCAAACCCTAGAATTTCCTAATCCTTGTGGCAGAAGATATTTCCCTCAAAGAAATAGCAACAAAGTGGAAACAACTCCAGTTAGTGAATTACCCCAAACAGCAAGGAGACACCCCCCCCAGGACACACACACACACACTCCCTTTGGCTTGAACTCAGGGCCTTGTACACACACACACCCTTTGGCTTGAACTCAGGGCCTTGTACACACACACACACACACACACACACCCTTTGGCTTGAACTCAGGGCCTTGTCACTGTCCCTGAGTTTTTGTCCTCAAAGCTAGTGCTCTACCATTTGAGCCACAGCTTCACTTCCTGCTTTTTTTTTCTTCTGGTTCATTGGAGGTAATAGTCTCATGGACTACTTTTCTGCCCAGGCTGGCTTTGAATGGCAATCTTCAGATTTCAGCCTCCTGAGTGGCTGATTACAGGTACCTGACTAGGATTTTCATTTTCAAAAATATTACTCATTTATTTATTTTTATGATTAAGCAGTTGTACAAAGAGACTTCAATTCCATAAATCAGGTTATGAGTACAGTGAATCTTGATTAATGTCACTCTTTCTATCCTTTTCCCCCATTTTTCCTCCTACCATCCCTACCCTCAAGTTACATAGTTCAGTGATAACATAAAGTACATTGAATATAAAGACTGCATTTGCTCACTCATTTTCTCTCTTTTGCTCTCTCTCTCTCTCTCTGTCAATAGTGGGGCTTGAACTCAGGGCCTGGGCACTGTCCCTGAGCTTTTTTGTTCAAGGCCTAACACTCTACCACTTTGAGCCACAGCTCTACTTCCAGGTTTTAGATGGGTAATTACAGATAAGAGTCTCATGGGCTTTCTTGCTCCTGTTGGCTTTGAACTGTGATCTCAGATCTCAACCTCCTGAGTAGCTAGGATTATAGGTGTGAGCCACCAGCACCCATTTTCATTTTTAAAAGGCCAAGGCCAAAATGGGCAAGAAACTAGACTTCTTGTATCACAAGGAAATTATAACTTCAGGGGTAACTATTGATGGTATTGGGGTGTGAACTCAGGACCTTGCACTTGCTAGGCAGATGCTTTATATCCCAGCTTACGTCTAGCCTGTTTAGGTACTGATTATTTTTGAGATGGAGGTCTCGCTTCTTCTCCAGGTATATCCCTGGACTGTCTATTTTATGTGTACACCACCACACCTAGCTTCTTCTGCCCAGCTAGCAGAAAAAAAACTTTTTACAGATCATGGTCTCCCACATAGCTACAAGTGACAAGTGTGTGGCATTATGCCAACTATGGGTTGAAATGGGGTCTCACAAACTTTGCTGCCTGGACAGGCCTCAAACTGTGATCCTCCTGTTCTCAATCTCCCAAGTAGCTAGGATTATAAATGTGACCCACTTGCTCCTGCCTAGGGGATGATTTTTTTCCGAAGTGCACTATGAATATTATCTTGACTTTAAATAGCCAAAATTTACAACAGAGAATGAGGATGTTTTCTCTATAGAAGGTTTTACATCAGTATAGCAGTTACTATTTCTCTTACCCCTGAATATTTTGTTTCTAAACATTTTTCTTTTATATAAACCACAGACTCAAGCGGAGAAAGGAATGACCCAGGGCACAAAACTTCTGGAAGCATTCACTTTCAGAATCATGGAAATCCTAAGCTTGTTATTGCTTGACCCTGAGAATGAGAATCTCCTTACATTTTTGTGCATGTACAGCTCACTTGCTTCTCTCATGCTCTGACTGCATGCTCTTAAGGACTGCAGAACGATAGCACACAGACTACTTCTTGCTATTGTTGTGCACATCAGGCATAACTAATCAATTATAGCACTTTTTCCCCTGGAGCATGGAAATAGTCTCAATGTTCTCTCAGCATTATATTCCCGTCAGCCATTACTAATTGATCAGAGGTGAATTCTGAAATGGAAGCTGTCTGCATTCTGTTCTGGCTAAGAAGATCAAAAGAATCAACTTTAGCAATCAATGAGGAAATAACCTGTCTTTTTATACCCAATATTATAATGTAGTTTTATGAATATAGGTGGAGGTTCTCAAAGTCTCTTATGATTAGTCATACTTTCAAACATAGGCTACCTATTATAAGCTTCTAAATTAGAGACAATGGAAGGTCCAAGAGATCCAGTGGAAAGAGTAACTCAGGAAACTAGTACTAGTAGAATTCTCTGAGATTTTCCACATGTATGGGAACAAACATGGAGCTATGAAGTTATTAGTTGTAGGTCAGAGGGAAAAGATTCTGGGCAGAAATTCCCTGGCTTTGGATTTGGGGAGGTAAAATAACAGCAGTATCTAAGAATGTTTCCGTATCTACATTTGTGAAATAAATATTGCACTCTAGAGTAAAGAATTTCAATGATGTCAGTTTCTTGGAATTAAGTGGCCTCAAGGTTACTTTTCCTCGCACAGATTTATCTCCAGTTTATATGTCTTTCCCAATCTTCTTAATATTACTGGAGCAGAACAAGGTTAAAACTCAAGTGAAAAGCATTTAGCAATGCAGCAGCACTATCTGTGGTTAACACTGCCCAGAATCCCTTCATTCTTTGGTAACATAAAGTACCCTAATTTTCTTTTGGAGAACTAGTCCTAAGTTTAGATGTAGGCCTGTGATTCTTTCTCAGCCAATCACAGCATTTCATTTCTTTAGCCATTATGATTGGTTCAGGGATGAACTCATGCCCAAATGGGAACCACTAAGCTGCCCAGAGATTATTCTCTGACATTGCCAGAAATGAGGTACCTCTCTTTAATCCTAGACTTGAATCTGGAGATGGAAAGCTAAATCTAGCTTGGTCAGCATGGGAAGCCTGTGAAGAATGAAGCCCCTACAACCCTTAGGTTGGATGGCTTTGTTTGAGTCCCTAGGTTTAGTCTGGCAAGCACTCCTACAGGCTCACCTCTAGCATTATGTATTTCTGCATTGGGAATCAAATTGATTTGCTCAGAATAATACACACGGAGTTATTGAGCACTGTAAGAAAGGAAGCATTGGAACAGGAAGTTCACTCCAGCTTAGCTGCTGAGTAATGTTCTAGGAAGGAGAAGCTCCTGGCTCCCCCAAAATGTTTTCAGTGACTTAGTCTTTAATCCTGGAAAAGCAACCTTGAATTGTCCTTTCTTTCTGGCACACAAAGTATCACGAAATAGTGTTGAAGAATGAGCATGAGAGCAAAGCCTTCCACAAAATCAGTCATGGAGAGTCAAGCAAGAATAACACAAACACTTGTAAAAGACTTTGTAAATCTGCCATGTTCATCTCTACAGATCATGTTTCCTTAAAAAAAATTCCTAATGTTTCCTCCCCTTCTAAATACCATATTACAGTTGTAGTCTAAGCTACGTTTTAGATCTGGCAGAAAACTTGCTCTTGCCAAGCAATCTTCAGGTTAGCTTCCGAAAGTATTAACTAAGCCTTCTGTTTCCCTTCCCAGGCCAATTTGAATCTTTCTTACTTTTGGATCAGGGAGAGGGCTCTGCAGATGTGGAGCATGAAATCAAAGAATCAGGCAAAAGGAAAATCATTTCTCCAATGTTCACAAATCCTTTCTTGCTTGTCAGTCTGCAGTGTCAACTACAAGTCTTTGTGAGAGCCTTTCAATGATCTTAAAAAATGAATTCTCAGCTGGGTGTTGGTGGCTCTCACCTGTCAGCATAACTACTCAGGAGACTGAGATTTGAGGATCTTGGTTTGAAGCCAGCCTAAGCAGGAAAGTCTGTGAAACTTTTATCTCCACTAAAGTACAAAAAAAAAAAAAAGCCAGAAGTGGAGCTATGGCTCAAGTGGCAGAGAGCTAGCTCAGGGCAGAGCCTGGGCCCTGAGTTCAAGTCCCAAGACAGACAGACAGACAGACAGACACACACACACACACACACACACACCTCTCGTCCTTCAGTTCTACATCTGCAGGGTGAGATCAATACTACCACTATGTGCCATATCTCCACCTACAGTTTTCTGGTGGTTAATTGGAGATAAGAGTATCATGAACTTTCTTGCTGGGGCTGGCTTTGAACCATGATCTTCAGATCTCGGCCTCTTCCTGAGTACCCAGAGCCTGGCTTAACAGTAGTATTTTTTTTTTTAAGATGGCAAAGCAGTTAGAGGAGGCAAACGTAAGTCATTAAGACAGGAGTTTTCCACCTTGACAAGCATTGACAATAGGTTTTTAGTGGGGAAATTTGTCTTTTCCCTGCAGAATGCTCAGCGATACCCTTAGTTTCTCCCCATTGGATGACCGCAGCATCGCCCCACCTACTCTAGTTGTGAGCACCAGAACTGTGATCTCTCTCAAAGGCACGTGGGGTCAGAGCAAACTGCTCCTGGCAGGGACAATGCTCTCAGGAAAAAGCTGAGCACGCATGGTACCTGGAAGCTGACACTGCCCACGGGCAGGTAGCTGTGGTCCTCCAGCATGCTCAGATACTCTGCCACTAAGGCAGCTGCGTGCACTAGGCACATGGCGGCCTCCGTGAAGCACTTCTTCTTGGTGTGTTTCTCTGCCATGTTCTGGAGCCAGGTGAGCCGTAGATCAGGAGATGTCTGGTAACTCTTGGCAATTCTGAGGATGGATTGATAAACAGGCTCAAGGACAACTGATTTATGATACTGCTATTCTATATCAGGTACAGAATTCTCTTACTGATGGGTGGTGTGTGTGTGTGTGTGTGTGTGTGTGTGTGTGTGTGTTGTGTGTTGTGTGTGTGTGTGTGTTGTGTGTCTGTCTGTCTGTCTGTCTGTCTTCTGGAGCTTGAACTCAGGGCCTGGGCACTCTCCCTGAGCTTATTTTCCTCAAAAGCTGGTGTTCTACCACAGTGGATCTACAGTTCTATTTTTGGCTTTTTGGTGGTTAATTGGACATGGACTTTCCTGCCTGGGCTGGCCTTGAACCATAATCTTCAAAAATCTTAAGCCTCCTGAGTCACTAGGATTACAGGTGTGAGCCACCAATGCCTGTCACTTGTAGGATTTTAAACCTATAGCTTCAGAAAATGAGAGAAAAGGCAAAAATTTTCATCCAACCAGTTTCATTCCATGTCCAGGTATACCAAATCCCCCCCAAACATTCCCTTAGTTAATACTAAGCTGTAGAAGAAAAAGCCTGATAAAAAGATGTCCCTTTTCATAGATCTTGAGCTGAGCAATCTTTGTCCTTTTCATTCTCTCCAAATAACAACGGAAGACAAAGGTACTTCCTTTCTTACCACATTGTACCAGACTGCTGCCACACACCTGATACGCCCAACCCCACCCTTTTCTGTGCCCATCCAATCAGTTTTACCCCTGTGACCTATGATTATATGCTGGTGAGAACGGTACCATGACAAACCCTGAAGCCCAAGGGATGACCTTTTAATGTTATCCGTTACCTGTACATAAGATCCATGAGCATCTCAGGGTCTTCCTGAAATTCCCTCATCTTCACTGTGTCATACAAAATGCTGTTCAGATTGCAGAGAAGTTCCTCCACCTGCAAAAGAGTGTAGGCCCCGCCCCCGAACCCCAAATAATCTTGACTTTGTAGTTCATGGCAAGCAGTTAAGAGTACAAGAAAACTCTACGGGAAGCCATAGTTTTGCTCCCAGGAGCAGAGAGAAGAGGTACAAAAGGCCTCTCTGGCTTCTGTCTCTGCAAGTCCAAGTGATTCTGAAGCCAGAGAGGAGTTGACTTTGGGGTCCACGATATAGCCCCGCAACCTTACCCTCTCTGCATCTCTGACACGCTTTGTTTAAATATGTTTGTACTAGTTTTAGCTATTGGCATCCTGAAAAGTTCTGAATTTTCCTTTGCGATGTCAGGGTATAAGTGGGAACCTATCAAAGAACAGGCTAGGAGCAGGAACTGAAAGATGAAGGGGACATGTTTTATCTTGCACTGCGACAGACATGGAAGAGATGACTGACCTCACAAGTTTCCTTAGGCTTCATCTTGTTTATAACTGCCTATCTTGACTTCCACTATTCACTAGTAAAGCAAATCATACCATCCTTACAAACCATTCCCAGTCAATATTTCCCTCCTTAGATGAATCCTATACCAGCTGTTTAATCTGACCCCCCCCACCACCACACATGTCTTTCAGAACCACCAGACTATGAACTAATGATCCTCCTCCCTTTTACTGCCATGCTGGGGTTCAATCCCAGAGTTTTGCATATGCCAGGCAAGTGCTCTACCACTGAGCTACATGCCTTCCCTTTCTCTAAGGTTACACAGCATTTGGTTTCTTACCAAACACTCAAAGCATCGGTCATCTCATCTTGTGGATGTATACTTGCACTACTCAAAGCACTGAGAAAGTGTGCATATTGCACAGGCAATAAATATTTGCATAGATCACATGCAACCTACATATGCATAGGTGTGAATTTGTAATTGGCCGATCCCAACCTCAGCCACATGACACCGCACGTTGATGGGTCTACCTGGATGGGAAAAGGAGTGGTCTGCATGGCGGTGTCCTCTTCTGAGTAGGCTAAAATAGTCCTCAAGGATCTTCTCAGGTGTTCCTCATTGAAGTCCGGGGCTTTGCCCACCAGAGAGGCTAGGGACATGGTCACTTGCATCTTTACTCTTGCAAAGTTCTGTATCCAAAGGGAAAACAAATGATGACCAAATGATAGTCCGCTAGTCCAACTAGTCAATCATTGAAGGCAGTGGGCCCAGACATCAGCAATCAAATGCTCCCTTGAGTCCAGTCTTAATCATTTCCTTCTCTCAATAAACTGTGTGCTTACACTTCAGATTTTACACTATTGTTTCTATGGTTTGGTTGGACATTGTGCTCTCATCAATCTGTCAGGATCCCTTTAAATTTTCATGAACAATTGGGCTTTCTCCATCCACGTACAAGGCTGAAGGATTCTTTTATGTTGAGTCATAGGATATATCCTTTTGTGCCAAGATTCTCTACTTGGAGCTTTATTTAAACTACTAAGAGGAATAGAACTTCCCAGGTTAGTATTTCTGAGATTTTGGATTTCCAGTGAGAAATGGCTTTCTGGTTCTCCTTGTTTCCCAAAAATCATAGAAAAATATGGCTATCCCTAGGGCCTGTGTGAAATGTCCTAAAGGCCTGGAGGTGACCTTGAATATATTCTAGGACCAGGCCTGGGAGTGTAGCTCGGTGGTAACGCACAAGCTTAGCATGTTGAGGCCCTGGGTTCAATCCCACAGTCCACCCTCCCCTCCCCCACCCTGCCCCCTGCCCAATGTCCTAATGTCTCAATTTCTTCCATGAGTCAATTTATCTTAATAGCATTCAAGTGTGGGAATGAAACATGACCAAAATAGCAAGTCCAAAAGCATATGGCTAAATTTGCTAAAAAGCTAGTCAAGGTTTACTATTCTATTATTAAACTAAACTCCAAAGCATTCAACATTTCACCTAAACCTCAGGTCTAAATAGCATCAATCACTTACAATTATCTTCCAAGGTCATCATGAAATCAGGTAGAATTGGTACCAATTCAGAATTCCTCAATCTTCACCCTCTCTGTGGCTTATTTCTTTCTATAGATGATACTTATTATCATTATTTTTTGTCACTCATGGGGCTTGAACTCGGCTTGGGTGCTGTCCCTGAGCTCTTCTGCTTAAGGCTAGTACTTTACCACTTTGAGCCACAACTCCACTTTCAGTTTTCTGGTGGTTAATTGGAGATAAAGGTTTCATAGACTTTCTTACCAGGCTGGCTTTGAACCGTAGTCCTCAGATCTCAGCCTCCTGAGTAGCTAGGATTACAGGTGTGAGCCACCAGTGCCTGGCTTAGATGATACATTTAAAAAAAAAAACCTATATATTCTATGGGTCTTTTTTTTTTTTTTTTGCATCCAGTCATGGGCCTGAACTCTGGGCCTGGGCACTGTCCCTCAGCTCTTCAGCTCAAGGCTAGCGCTCTACCACTTGAACCACAGCACCACTTCTGGCTTTTTTCTTCATATGTGGTGCTGAGGAATCGAACCCAGGGCCTCAGGCATGCAAGGCAAGCGCTCTACCACTGAGCCACCTTCCCAGCCCCTATTGTATGGGTCTTAAGGAAGCATACTGATGAAAACAAGGCACTTTGAGTCCTACAAGCCGCTGTCAGATGCCTGCTGCTATACAGCTTGATACTCGATTTTTTCCTTCATTCTTCTAGTTTGTGTACTGGTCCTGGCTTCTCAGGGCTTGATTGAACTCAGGGCCTCATGCTCTTGCTTGGCTTTTCCACTCAAGGCTGGCACTCTACCATTTATACCACATCTCCACTGTTGGCTTTTTTTGGGGGGCTGGTTAATTGGAGATAAAAGTCTTAGGTACTTTTCTGCCCAGGCTAGCTTTGAACTAAGATCTCAGCTTTCTGAGGGATAGCTAGGGTGACAGGCATGAGCCACTCACTCAAGTCTTTCTAGAATAGAAAGAAGAGGCAACACTGCCAGGTTTTCCTTCTATTTTCCTCCCTACCAGTGCTTTGTGATTGATATCCCCCTCCTGATGTTAGGTGATCCTGTTAGGGTAAACTCTTACACTGCTGGCCCCAAAACTGAAGCGCATGAGGAGGTACAGGGTGGCGCAGGCTTGGCTCCGGGTGACATCGATGCTGCTACTGCAGTGGTGGAGCACACGCTGGCACAGGTCTGCACACTGCTCCACCTCCTCCTCGAACAGCAGATCTCCGAACTAGGAAAAGATCCAAGGGGCCGTTAGCAAGCGCCTGACACACACACTTCACAGCTCTCTGGACTGGGTGTGGGCTGAAATATACAAATGTCTGCTTGGACAAGCAAAAAAAAAAAAAAAGCCCCAGAGAGTTCATACATTGCTCCATAGAGATAATGAGCTCTGTGAGTCAGAAGATGGATTTCAGCAATGAAGTGGACTTCAGCTTTAATTACGAACCACACAAGGAAGGTCAGCGTGGTTAGGAACTTCATTGTTAGCCAGGCTGTGTTCCGCTGGGAAGGCACAGCTTGGAAGGAATTACTTGTGGGTTTTGAGGGCTCCTGAAGGAAATCATTTTTGACTAAGAAAGAGAAAATGACAGCAAAGGGATTCCATGTTCTAAAATTTAAAAGATCCCTGTGTAGAAGGCACTCACTGAGATTTCCCAGAATTAAAAATAATCTGCACGAACGAGCAGCCAAAGGTAATCTGTAGTCTCACACAAACAGAAATGAAGTTCTAAACCTCCTGGCATTTTATGACCAGACATTTTGAAAGATTTCTATGGAGTCACACATAGGATTTAATTTCACTCTGTTAAGGAATTAAAGCAAAGTGTAAAACTGTAACGTCATTCAACTATAAAGTCATTCAGTTGATCTTTGCTCTCATGTGAATAGCCATTTGAAATTTCCAGAGTTGGGGCCACATTTCCAATATGGGTAACACTGTTGATCTTTCCCACAGTGACTTTCTTAACTTTTATTCTATCTATCTATCTATCTATCTATCTATCTATCTATCTATCTATCTATCTATCTATCTATCTATCTATCTATCTATCTATCTATCGGTTGTGGGGCTTGAACTCTGGGCCTGAGCACTGTCCCTCAGTTCTTCAGCTCAAGGCTAGCGCTCTACCACTTAAGCCACAGTGCCACTTCCTGTTTTCTGGCGGTTTATTGGAGATAAGAGTTACACAGACTTTCCTGTCCAGGCTGGCTTTGAACCATGATCCTCAGATCTCAGCCTCCTGAGTAGCCAGGATTACAGGTGTGAGCCACCAGTGCCCCGAAATTTTATTATTATTTTTTTAATACTGATCCTAGGTCTTGAATTTAGAGCATCCCACTCATTCTAACTCACTTTCTTGCTCACAGCTAGCACAGTACCACTTGAGTCACATCTCCAGTCTAGCATTTTGCTGAAGATGCAGTCTAGAAGAAGACTCTAATGTTTTTGCTGGCTAAAGTACTGGGACATCTACTTGCTTCCCAGAAAGAAGACCTTTGTTCCACGTCACTTAATACACTTCCTGCGTCTTAATCTACCTGAAGAAAGAAGTGAAGCTAGATGAGAATCTTAATTAAGAGTTAAGAAAACAAGTGTCTCATGTTTACCTTGGCGATGAGGGCTCGGAGTGTTGCAAAGCAGTGAGTCAAGTAGGTGGTGCTCTGATCACAGCTCAGAGAATTCACCAGGACCCTCAGGACACCTCCTAGCACGCTGTCTTTACAATCCAGAGCCGAACTTGCCTATGGGGATGGAAGAACAGCATCATGAAATACCTGCCCTGTGCCAGGGAGCTGTAAACAGCGGAGACTACTGGGATTAGTTTAAGACCATGGACGGTCTTAGGGATTTGATGAGCCTCTAGACATCATCCATGAGCAACCACAACATCTATGTCTCAATGACTGTATTTCAAAACTTCCAACTGATTTGGGATGTGTGCTCAGATCTGGTCTTCTGAATGAAGTTTAAAGGTATACGTCCCTCCATCTTGGGCCACAGATTCTGGGAGGTTCTTTGTATACAAGCTCTGGATTTTCTTGTGAGCTTCAAAACTACAACTGCAAGTTTCCCTGCACAATAGGGGGCTGGTTGGTGGCAGAAAAGTTTCTAAATAGAAGCTCATTTATCAGCTACAGAAGCCTAGGAAACACCTGAGTTTAATTTTTTCTTAGAAAGCTGCAAATACATTGTGAGGCTTGATGGTACAGGTAATAACAAACACTCAGACATGGTAGAAAGATAGTCAATGTGATATTGACCACTAAAGTAATCAACGATATGAAAGTCATCAAACCTACTTGAATCATCCATGGAGTTGCTCAAGGTCTCTGTAGGAAGTAGCCTAACATTTACCTATCACCTTATACACATCTGTATATTCCAAATCATCTTTAGATTACTTATCACACTTAATACAATGTAAATGTTATGCAAGTAATTGTTACACTATGTTGTTCAGGAAATAACAGGGAACTCGGTACCTATTCAATACAGATGTAATTTCTGTCCTGAATATTTTCTGTGATGGGTTGAGTCTGAGGATGTGGAAGACACCATAGCTACGGGTATTGCCTGGCCTTTCCCATTGCCAGGATGGTGATATCATTGAGCAAATGAACAGACTTTCAGCAGAGTCCCAACCAAATATCATTTGTTCTATTTAACACTGTTTTTCCTTTTTTCTAATCCAGTGATAATGGCTCAGATGGTAGCTACCAGAAGAAACGTCACTACCATCTCCAGAAACTAAGCAAAACCCACCATCCACATTGTTAACTGGGCACACACTTGGGCCAATTTAACCTTGAGGCTCAAACTCATCAAACTAATTCTGAGTAACCAGCCAAAGAAGCCAGAAGAATGTTTGGTGTCTCTGGAATTTGTAAGGTTATTATAAATAATAAACTTCCCAATTTCATTTTTTTTTAAAAAAAGGGCATTTTAGAAGCATGTTTCTGTCTTTCACCATTCTGAACAAAGATTTTCTTTCTAAATTCCAGGAAACATATCCACATCTAGCAGGTGAGATCAGGTATTCCTTGTCCTTACCTGGATAATATTTTCCTGCATATCTAGAATGATTAGATTTGCTTCTGTAGCCAGATTGCCACTTATCAAGGCTTCTTGATCTAATTCTGCCTTTGTTCTAAGAAACAAAAACAGGTCAAATTAAAGCACAATCAAAGCTGGCCTTGTTCCAATGACAGTTATTTATGTACTAACTTATAAAGACTTCAGAAAAATACGAGAAAGCAGGAACTAAGGAGGCAGATATTTTCTGAGATTTGCATCTGGTCAGAAAGACTGTGTAGGTAATGCTTCTAGAACATCCTCATTTCTCTACCATTATGCGTAACAATGACAATTTTGATAAGATAGAGAAGCGATTGTTGGTTGTTTCTAGCTTTGAGTCCAGTCCGTCAGATGGTTTCCTAAAGCCTCAGGGCCATGTCGGCAGTTCCTGCCAGAGAACTATCTCTGTGTAGCAGTGAGGGAAGGCCAGGGCCCAGGCTGGAGAGACTGGGTGTGATGTGAATTTGGCACACAGGGATGATGTTGGGTGAGAACCACTTCTAAACTGAGATTCAGTCTCTTAACTTCCCAAAGACGACCTGCAAATCTCTGTCCAATGTGAGACCTGTCCTTTCCCAATGGAAAGGTTGCTTTCCTGTGGGAAGTCATCCAACAGTGTACAGGGCATCACTGGTGATTGCCCATAGAGAAATGAGTATCTCTATTCTCTTTGATTTTCATGAAAGAGAGAGAGAATAGGTGTACTTTATACACTAGTCCATCCATTGCCACAAAATCCAAGTGAAGCCAGAAAGGAATACAAGCAGTTCCCTCTTTTCCACAGCTTTATTGCTAACAGTTCAGCTACCTGCGGCCAATTCCAGTCTGAAAATATGCCATGGAAAACTCCAGAATAAGTGCCAGAAATAAATGATTCATTCGCTGTAAACCATATGATGTGTTGAGTAGCATCCTATTGTGCTTTTGGCCTGACAGGTAAATTACTGTTTCAACCAGTGTATACAAGCTATATTCTACCCACCTGATGCTTATTCTGATTATTCAACTGACTGCTGCAGCATCATGGTGCTTGTATGTAGGATTTGGTTCCATTTGCAGGTTCAGGAATCTATTTATTCTATTGGGTCTTGGAATGTAGTCCTATGGATAAGAAACTGCTTTTCTTTCTTTTTTTCTTTCTTTTTTCTTTGTGCCAGTCTTGGAGATTGAATTCAGGGCCTAGGCACTGTCCCTGAGCTTCTTTTGCTCAAGGCTAGCACTCTACCACTTAAGCCATAGCATCACTTCTGGCTTTTTCTGCTTATGTGATACTGAGGAATTGAACCCAGGGCTTCATGCATGCTAGGCAAGCACTCTACCACTATGCTATATTCTCAGCCTGCTACTCTATTTTCTATAGGCATCCAAATTTAGTTTTGGAAGAAAGGGAGGTATAAAGCAATACTTCACTAAGAAGCCCTAGAGGTGAAGATGGTACCACAGAAACAGGAGTGTCATGTTATCAGCTTGGATAATTGAGACCATTTAGCTCCTCTATCCCAACAATGGAGGCATTGCCATTGCTTTCATATGGCTGAGTATTCAGAGAAGGATTTCTGTTGATTCTACTGTTTCCACACTGAAGCTCACAGGCCCTGAGCTATTCACGTGCATTTTTTTCCTCTCATTCTCCAAGTGCCAATATGAATATAAATCAGTTGAAATGTAAAAACTACATATTTAGTTATATAAGGGTAGGTTTAAATTTAGAGCAATGCTGTCCAATATAATAGATGTCACACATGTGAAATATATAAATATAATAGGTGTCACATATGTGAAAAGCAAATGGATACTAATTTTAATATATTTTAATTCATCTATCAATATGGTGTCAGTGTGTATCCAATGCAAAAATCACCAATAACACAAAAGCTGGCTGGGTGCTGTTGGTTCATGTCTGTAATCCTAGCTACTCAGGAGGCTGAAATCTGAGGATTGTGGTTTAAAGCTACCTGGGGCAAGAAAGTCCATTAGACTCTTATCTCCAATTAACCAAGAAAAGGGTAGAAGGCCCTGGTGGCGCATACCTATAAGCCTAGCTACTCAGGAGGCTGAGTCCTCTGAGGATCGATTTTCCATGAGATTTATATCCAATAAACTACTCAGAAAAAGTCAGGAGTGGAGCTGTGGCTTAAGTGGTAAAGCACTAGTCTTGAGCAAAAGAAGCTCAGGGACAGTGCCCAGGCCCAGGATTCAAAAAACTCCAGGACCGGAAAAAAATAAAAAAAGAACATGGAAGTGAGTTGGACACCAATGGTTCATGCCTATAATTTAGCTACCCAGGAGGCTGAGATCTGGGGATTGTTGTTCAAAGCCAGCCTGGGCAGGCAAGTCTGTGACTCTTAACTCCAATTAACCAATAAAAAGACAGAAGTGAGCTGGACACCAGCTCATACTTGTAATCCTAGCTACTCAGGTTTTGAGAAGTGAAGTTCAAAACCAGCCTGGGCAGAAAGTCCACGAAGACTCTTATCTCCAACCAACCACCCAAAAGCTGGAAGTGGAGTTGGGGCTCAAGTGGTAGAGCACTAACCTTGAACAAAAAAAAGCTTAGGGATCACACCCAGGCTCTGGGTTCAAGCCCCAGTACTGGCAAGCAAACACACACACACACACACACACACACAGACCTAAAATCTGGCATGTACTTGTTGTTTGTTGTCCATCTCAACTTAAACCAGCTCCATTTTAGTAGTGGTACCCATGTGTCTGGCGGTTACTGTAGTGAGGAATACAGCTCTAGAGTGTTCTAAACTTTCTTTCTTTCTTCCTTCCTTCCTTCCTTCCTTCTGTTGGTCATGGGGCTTGAACTCTGGCCTGGGCACTGTCCCTCAGCTCTTCAAGTCAAGGCTAGTGCTGTACCATTTCAGCCACAGTACCACTTCCAGTTTTCTGGTGGTTTATTGGAGATGAGAGTCTCATGGATTTCTTTCCCCGGCTGGCTTTGAACCGTGATCCTCAGATCTCAGCCTTCTGAGTAACTGGGATTATAGGCATGAGCCGCTGGTGCTTGGTTTCATTTTTTTTTATAGTGCTAAAATAAATATCAAAATTTTCCATCCTAGCAATTTCCATGGTCTAGTTCAGTGGTATCAAATATATTTACATTGTTATGAGACCTACTACTAAGCTTGTATCAGAGAGGCCTGGCTGCTATTTTCTCTCGGCCACTGTGCCTCAGGTACCCTTGCACAGTAGAATCGGGTAGAGTTTTCTAGCAAACACTAATTCTAGTCCTCCCTTGTGGGAGACCTGAATTCACTGGCCTGGGTGCTTTGAAACAGCACCTAGCCCCTGAAGCGTTGCAGGTGTGAATCTGAATGTGTGTATGCAGATGTACTCTGACACTGGGCAGCCCGCAAGTATTTCAGGGCTGAGGGCTAACCTGGAGAGAACTGGGGGGCCCTGCATGGTAAGATTCAATACTGTGTTGTGGCAGCCAGCAGAAGGGTGAGGTTTCCCAAAACATCAATTTACTCAGCCCCGCCAAACCATGCCTTGTAAGGCTCTTCTTTCAATCTCGCAGAATAGACGGCCTAGCCATGTAAGCAGATCCACCCTGACAATATGCACATTTTTGTTCTTGTTGTCATCACTGTACACTATCTGAACTAGAATGTGCCAACTTTCAGAACTAAGCATCTTACAGGTCAGTTTAAGCAACTTCCAGCAAGAACACAGTATACAGCACAGAGAGGTGTCATACTAAAAATCTGACATATAAAAATGTGTTAACTTCTTTGTCTATCAAAAATCCCATGAGTAGGGCTGGGAAGGTGGCTCAGTGGTAGAGCGCTTGCCTTGCATGCATGAGGCCGTGGGTTCAATTCCTCAGCACCACATAAACAGGGGAAAAAAGGCTGGAAGTGGCACTGTGGCTCAAGTGGTAGAGTGCTAGCCTTGAGCTGAAGAGCTGAGGGACAGTGACCAGGCCCAGAGTTCAGGCCCCACGACCAGACCCCCCCCCAAAAAAAATCCCATGAGTAGCTGGGCACTGGTGGCTGATGCCTGTCATCTAGCTACTCAGGAGGCTGAGATCTGATGATCATGACTCAAAACCAGCTCAGGCGGGAAAGTCTATGAGACTCTTATCTCCGGTTAACCACCAAAAAACCAGAAGTGGTACTATGGTTCAAAGTGATGGAGCTCTAACCTTGAACAAAAAAGCTCAGGCACAGCACCCAGGCCCTGAGTTCAAGCCTCACAACTAACATCAACAACAAAAAGTCCTGTAAGTGGATCAGAATAGTAGTATTCTGTGGTAACTGAAAAAAATAGTACAGGCTCATATTTAGTTACTAAGCAAGGTTGCTGTTCAAGCCTTCTGTTTCTCTGCCCACCTTTGATGGATGCTTCATACATCATGAAGATGTACCTATGCTTTGAACTCTTGAGTAAGGTTTTAACCAGTGTTCTGCTCAGTGAAGTTCAAGACTCATTAGGCTACCTGTTATCATAGGCAAAGGAAGTGTTTAGCCCTTAGATGTATTGATTTGTTGCATATATAACTCCCTGTGTCTCCTCTCTCTCTCTCTCTCTCTTTCTGTACATACAGACACACACACAGACAGACACAAACACACACACAATATTGTGATCCAAGTGGGATTTCATCTTCAATTTATGGTGTTTTTCTGACTATATTTCCAAATACAAATCCATTGTAGGAAATAAGGCAAAGTATAAAAAAAGAAAACACCACTCATTTATATTATTAACACCTAAAGAAAAACATTATTAATATTTTTGAAAATTTTCCTATAGCCTTTCAAAGATGTATTTACTCTGTGAATTAGAGATTTGAGGCTACATTTCCAAATCATGTTTTTGTGCACATAACAACTAATTCAGAAGCATTTTCCCTATGTCATTAAGATGATCTGCAAGCATGCCAACAACCTAGTATTTTGTCATTTCCCCGTTTTTGAGCAGTTACAGTATTTCTAATGTTTTAGAAGAATTTCAAGCAATGCTAACATAAATATCCCTAAAAGTACACCTGTCTGTTATTAAGCTTTCGGAGGTCGCTAAATACCGAGGTTCTTTAAATGCTCGTCAATGTGATACATTTTTACCAGTTAGAAAGGACATTTCCTTATACCTTTGGGCATCCTTGGTCCCTGAGTAACCATATTTACACAGCGATGTTTCATTTTTCTTCCCTTTGAAGTGATGGAGCTAGCTCAGTAATACAAGTAGCCTGGGGGAGGGAACAGTTTGAACTTTAAATAAAAAGTAGCACAAAGTTATGGAGTCACTCACTTATCTAGCTTCTCATTAGCTTGCCGCCAATGTGTCTGCTCTTTTCTCCATCTCAGATTCTCATTTAGGCCTGGAAATCGGTCATTCCCTAGGAGTTAAGAAATGCACAAGAGGAATCTGATTAGTATGAAACCTGCCAAGAGAACCAGAAGTTCTGTCTGGAGCTCCACAGAGAGGAGGAGAAAACTCAGCACATTTCTCTGGTTAATTAGAGTCTGCCGCTGCTGCATGCGTTAAGTCTGAGTTGTTCTGTTCCTAGATGGACAGGCGGGGAAGAATCTTCTTGAATTCTTCCTTGGAAGAATCCTGGACATTTCAGGGGATCAGGGAGCGCATTCTCCAGTGAAATGCTGTGGACTCTTCATCAAGTGTTGAGGAGAGTGGATTTGCCTGATGAAGCTGCTGGCCCACCACTGATCATGCTGAGCTCCCTTCAAGGCGTCTGACTTTGGATCCCACTGAATAGGACGGGCTTACTTTCAGTGAGCAACCATGAATAAGATGCAGGGCGCCTGACATTTCTCTCTCTTTTAGAGTGATGAGCTCAGCCTTTGGAGGTCATCCCTGATTAGCAGTGACCTTGAAAGACTGGGATTTGCTCCCTTCTTACAAGTTTCCTGACACCTCTGATGTTACCATAAATGTTCCAGAGAGATCTTCCTTTCCCACCAAAAGCACGCAGACCTGTGACAGAACGCAGGGAAGGGCTTGCCCCACACACCTGGAGCTCGGCAGCGACGCATCATCTCTCCTCTGGCTCCTTCTCCCCGGAGCAAAGCCTCTTCTAGCCTGGCCTTGACATCCCTCGACTTCTGTAGGACTTGAGTGCTGACTTTGTCGGAACTCTGTTTTCCCTGGACAGGACAGAGGTGAGAGGACATTCAGTTGGGTGTGATCTGCATTGAACGGGAGAATGTCAAAGTAGAGTGAGACCACGTGGTGGGGTCAGGCCGTTGTGAGTGACACGTGTTACATGGGAGTGGGGAACTCTGCAGAAGGCTGAGTGGCTGTGGAATGATCACATCCGTAATGCACAGAGGATATGGATCTGAGTACACAGACAGGAAGACAGAACGATGCTGCCAATGGGTCCACACAAGTAACTAGGCCCTTGGCCTGGCATTCAATGGAAACACCCACACTTACCTTATACTCAAAGCAGGAGACGCAGATGAAAAGCAGGTCTAAAATCCTGTTCAGCTGCATGGATGGCAGGTCGGCAATCCATCTCCGAAGGAGACTCTGATCTGCATTTTTCATGATCCACAGGAAGCAGATCATGAGGTTCCGGGTGGTGTCCGCATTCAGCATGTTGTACTGCTTGTAGGGCTGGGAGGAGCAGAATGGGAGAGGAGGCCAGGGGAAGAAGTCAAATGGTAAACCTGAGCGTTTCAGGGATGCTAGTTTCTCAGAACACAGTGCCTACTTCCTCATTGGCTAGGCCATAAAGCTTCTAGTAGCCCTGACCTCACTAGGCTGGGGAAACTCAGGACAGCATTTCAGCTAGACTTACAGCCTCTGCCTAAGAGCAGTGTGGTCTAATGGTTGATCACAGACCTTGATCACTCTCTTGAGTTCAACGATACAAAGGGACTTTCTCACTGCTAAGATATGCAAGTACTCACCCTTCAAGCTAGAGAGTGGAGCGTTAGACTTACAGGAAAGAACTAGTCTGGCTGGGTGTCACGAATAACATATGTGTTCATGATTCAGCTAGTTTGTCACATAGTCCAAAAGTATAATATAAGGGTCACAGACTGCTCAGTTAATCAAATCTATCTATCAGCAGTAGAGCTCTCTATAATGGGAAGCCAAGCACAATTTATGTTCGCGTAAGGACAGAGGTGCAGACAGTCAAACCACTTACTCTAATAGTGTATACTATAATAGTCTAATGACGACTGTTGGTTTTAGTGCACTTTCTGTAAGTCATTACATCTGCACAGAAAACAAGGCTGCACTCATGGGTCACACGGCAGAGCTAATATCCAGTGGAATGTACTGGCGATACTGCAATGAGGTAGGGTAGCTGTGAGCTAGCTGTGTGAAGGAATGTTTGTGTTGGATTGAGATCATGGAGATGACCAAGTTAACTTTAATTGGAGTTATTCTGAGTATGTGGACAGAAAGGAATGAAATCTGATAACTTCACAGGGAATAGGTTCTAAGAGATGAACTTTGGGCTTCTCAGTTCCTTCCTTACAGGTAAATAAATTTTAAAAAAAACCACCAATACTGCTTAAAGTAGGTAACTTCAGTAAGGCAGGTACGTGGAAGGAGGCGAAGGCCCTAAAACACAATATTTATCCAACTGCTAGATTCATGAAACTGCCAGATCAGTGATGTCAAATCTCAAATATCCTTTCTCTTGTTTAACTCCCTGCCTGCTGCTCCCTTTTGGGAATGGGAGGCTACTATGTGCTGGAAGGGATCCAGAGAAAGTCATCAGCAAAGAAAAGTTGAGTTGAGAGCCTGTCCAGAAGAAAGCCAACCAAGTTCCTTGCAGATCTACAGTTCATATTGATATATAAAAATCATTTGGATTGAGCCAGGCGCTGGTGGCTCGCACTTATAATACTAGCTGAGATCTGAGGATCGCGGTTCAAAGCCAGCCCGAGCAGGAAAGTCCGTGAGACTCTTATCTCCAATAAACCACTCAGAAAAGCAGAAGTGGCGCTGTGGCTCAAGTGGTAGAGTGCTTGCCTTGAGCTGAAGAGTTGAAGGATAGCATCCAGGCCCAGAGTTTGAGCCCCATGACCGATCAAAAAAAAAATCATTTGGATTAGCTACTAATAATCATGGGTTCAACTTCCATTCCCTTCACCTCCCCAACTCTACCCTAGTGCCCCCACCAAAAAAAAAAATAAACAACTAGAAGACTTGGGGCATGATATTGTTTTTGGCAAGGGATAATCAGACCTTATAGATAAACAGAAATGAGTCACTTCTACATTGCTGAAGAAGCCCCTCTTTTAAGCCCCAGACTGCTCTGGCCACAGGACAGAGCTAAACAGACAACTGTCTCTGGGATTCCTGCAGATAAAGAAAAGCTGAAGTGTTTTGCTTAGGAAGTACTTGTTCCAAGCTTCTGAAGCAAATACTTCTTAAGGAAAACACTTCAATCGTATCTTCTTCTTTCCTCATCTTCCTCCTTCTCCTCCTCTTCTTCTTTTGACATAGAATGACTTGTAAAAACATGGAAGAAGCCCAGACCAAGACCCCAACATTAAAAAAAAAAAGTGCCTTGATTTCCCAAGTCCACCTCTTTCCTTGAACTCAGCACGCTGGGACGGGTGGAATCTGACTCAAAGATCTCTTGCTGTTGCCAGATCTCTGTCTGATCTGTGGGTGCTCAGCTACTGGTCCCACGGAGTGAGGAGGCAGAAATCACCCAGGCTTGTTCTACGCTGGATTCTCCCATCAGAAGAAGGGAAAGACATAAACAAAAAAGAAGCTAGAGAACTGTGGGCCAACATACCAAGGAAGAGAGCATTGTCCCACTTGTCTTCAAATTAAAATGATTTCCTGCTATAGCCAGGGCCACGTGCTGGTTGATTGAACTGGCCACATCTTGGTCATCATCTAAGCCGTTGGTGCGGCTCTTCCCACTACGCACATCTGCACCTGCAACGAAAATATCACAGGTGACTCAAATCAAAGACAGTGTTTCCTTACACCCGCTAACCAACACCCACTGACAGACAGAGGCTTCTTAGTCATTAAAACCAGGAGAGAGAGAGGGGGGGAGAGGGAGAGAAAGAGGAGAGAGAGAGGAGAGAGAGAGAGAGAGAGAATGGTTTTGGGGCCTGAATTCAGGGCCTGGAAATTATTTCTGAGCTTTTTTGCTCAAGGATAGTGGTGGACACTTGAGCCACAGCTCTATGTCTGGCCTTTTGGTGGTTAATCAGAGATAAGAGTTGCATGGACTTTCCTGCCTTGGCTGGTTTTGAACTGTGATCCTCAGATCTCAGCCTTCTGAGTAGCTAGGATCCATTGGCACCTGGCTAGCACAATAATTTTAAATCTGATATTTAACATTTTTATCTGCCATTATCTACAGGAAAGGGGAAATAGGTTAAAAAAAGAGACAAAATATCAGTGAGCAAGAAATTAATTTTCTGACTTAAACTCAGAACTTCGTGTTTGATGCTGTATCCCTTGAACCAGATCTCTAGCCCTTTTTGCTTTTAGTTGTTTTTAAAATAAGGTTTCTTGTTTATGCAGATTTCCTAAGCAGCGGGCATGATAGCTGCATGCTAGCACACCCAGCTTTTTATTGATTGAGATGGGTGGATCTCCCAAACATTTTATCTTCATGATTCCACTTTCCAGGTAGCTAGGATCACAGGCACACACCATCACATCTGGATGAAATTAATTTTTAAATTGTGAAAAGCTGTTATAATACTTTCCCATGCTATGCTTTTACTTATTTTCTATAATGATCAAAGGAATCTATAATGATAGAATTAAGCAAGTATGTTATTTATAGTATGTTATTCTCACAAGTTTAGAAATAATTAAATTTCAAATGTCGGAAGTGAATGTTAATTTATTATGTCTATATAAGATAGACATATCTATACTTACACGTGGGACTAAATGTATGCAATATGAAAAAGAATCAACCATCTAAAAGTCTGGCTTTAAAAAAAATACTACCAATCATGTATATAGAAACTATTCAAGCGCTTCTTGGGAAAATGTGTTAAAAGTCTTGGTATTGATTGACTCACTAAAAGACCATATTTTATTACACCTGTCAACACTATAGCAATTTGGACCTTCAATTTTTCAGAAAAATTTGAGTGTAGACAGCATTTCATCTGCTAAAGTTCTGAAAAACAGACTCAACTTTCAGAAATAATAATTCACTTTTGCACTTTCAGGCAGTTGGGTTTTTAAACAAATAGTGAAATAAACAGCACAGGGAAATCGTGGAAGACTTGATAAAGTGATTAATACTGATGTGAGAATATGTTCCTATTTCTCCTTAATTTTCTTAAGGACATAGTTACAAGAAAACGAATAAAGGTTATAAATATTTGCTATGCAAAATATGAGTTTTCTAGTTTCATCTTTATCTTCACGCTAAGAAGGAGGCATCAATACCATATTTTTGCAGCTGTGAAAGGCTGCATAATGATAATAGGGCTGAGATTTGAATTCAGATGTAGCCTTGTTTGAAAGACTATATTCTTATGAGATTATCAATCTGAAAGTTGTATAGTAAATAGATGTGCCACTATCCCCTGTAATAATGGAATTCCTTTTAATATTTTTCCTTCTTGTCATCATGACAAAATGCCTTTTTTTAAAATAAGGAACATACAGTTTCAATGCATAGGAAAAAAGCCTTTGAAATCTAAAACTCTCCAAGTCCAGGTGCTGAAAAGCTCTGATGATGCTAAGAGCCTTGTTTGGAAAATTCTAACAGAAGAAAGCTCTAGGCCTGGTGTTAGTGGCTCACACCTGTAATCCTAGCTACTTGGGAAGCTGAGATTTGAGGATCAAGGTCCAAAGCCTGCATGGGCAGAAAATTCTGTGAAAGTCTTATCTCCCATTGACCAGCAAAAAGTTGGAAGTGAGGTGTTGATCAAGTACTAGGGTGATAGCCTTTTGAAAAAATATAAGGCCCTGAGTTCAATCACAAGTGTGTGCATGCGCACACACAAACACACAGGAAGGAAGCTTAAGAGAATATATGCTGTGCTTCTCTGCTTTATGAACAAGTCCCAGCTCTTCATATTAAACATTCTAGAAACTTTCCAGCAAAGAATGTCCAAATGGACTGCAAGTCAATGCCATGCTCTGGCAGGATGCCCTTCCATTTTGAAGACAACTATGATTTGAATTGTCCTGTAGCCTGGTGCTGAGAAAGCTATCCATCTCCTCACGTTGTCAGATCACCCTGTGTGTCCAGCATGTCTCTGTAATTCCCCTGCTTCCGTGACCACACAGAGCTCATAAACCCCAGCCCCTGTCTCTCTCCCGTCAGAGCTTCTCTTCTGGCAGAACTTTTCTTTGACAGTTTGCAGGAGGATTCTTTTTTTTGGCAAGAAAGAAAATAGGCTTTGCATGAATCAAAGACCATGATCATTGTCATCTTTTAACAGACTAAATAATCGATAGCATAATGATTTTAGAAGTTTAATCATACATGATACTTTGTGTTCGGAGGAAGTCAGAATATCAGAATGGTTCTTAGAGTTCAAGGATGACTTCTTGTAAGAACTGGCTCAGATAAGCAACTCCAGACCTCACTATAAAACAATGGTTTGGGCTAGGTGCCAGTGGCTCATGCCTATAATACTAGCAACTCAGGAAGATGAGATCTGAGTATTGTAGTTTGAAGCCAGAATCTGGCAGGATGAAGCCAGCTCTGGCAGGAAAGTCTATAAGAGACTTATCTTCAATTAATAATAAAAGCAAGAAGTGGAGCTGTGATTTGAGTGGTACAGCACTAGCTTTGAGCAAATATGTTCAAGGACAGCGCCCAAACCCTTAGTTCAAGCCTCAGGACCAGTACAAAAAATATTTTAATACATGTATCAAAACTATTTAAATATACGTATATACTACGCTTTGGCTGTCTTCACTCCTCCATTACCCTGTCTTGTCCTCCTCTACATACATAGATTTGCCGTTTCTAAGAATTTCTGTTGAGCTTGAAGAGCAAGAGTGTGTGTGTGTGTGTGTGTTTCCACCTGTAATTTCTTTTTTTCTTTCTTTCTTGCCAGTCCTGGGGCTTGAACTCAGGGCCTGGGCACTGTCCCTGACCTTCTTTTTGCTCAAGGCTAGCACTCTACCACTTGAGCCTCAGTGCCACTTCTGGCCTTTTCTGTTTATGTGGTGCTGAGGAATTGAACCCAGGGCTTCACGCACGCTAGGCAAGCACTCTACCTCTAAGCCACATTCCCAGCCCATTACCTATAATTTCTAATCCACACTGTAACACATAGATTCAAGAAGTGCATAAACCATTTAAAGAACATGTTTCTCTATTACCATTAAACAAGAGATACTGACATCTGAATCAATCTGTGTGGCAAAGGCAAAATTCTTCTTGTGGCAGAAATTTCCTAATACTGAAAGATATCATAATAATTTTTTTTGGCATGAAACAAAAGAATTGCTTAGTTTTATTTGGCACTGTTTCACTGCTTAAACATAAAAGCAAAGCAAAGAACCATCTGTATTTCAAGGGCATTAGGACAGTGACCTCTGAAGAAAGTGGTCTGTCATCAGATTTCATCCTTTGTGATGCATGGCTCATAAACCTTACTGAGCTCAATTGGGGGAGGGAGAGAGAGAAGAAAAGAGAAAGAGAAGAAGAGAAAAAAGAAATAGAGAAAGAAAAAGAAATAAAAGAGGAAGGAAAGAGGGAAGGAGGGAGGGAAAGAAGGAAGAAAGAGAAGATTTGAACACATACTGGTATATTTGCTTATAAAATGAGGTGGGGCTGCGTTATGAAGCTTTGGAAGTTAGTTCGTGCAGCATGGATTCTTTCAGCACGGAGTAAATGGGAGACCTCATGCCGGGTACATTCGGCAGGGACTGGCATCAATCTCAGGAAAGAGGCAGACAGATTCTTACCCGTAAAGTCATATAGCTGCGGCAAAGCATCCAAAATGATGCCTACCAAAGGTAGGTAGAGGGTGGCGATTTTGACCTTCACCTCTGGTTTGACGCACCTCGGGTCCAGGTCATGAGAACTCAGAAGGCTGTGGATGGCACTCACGGCTTTCCTCTGCACTTTGCTGATTCTATGAGTGCAATGCAGAGAGAGAAGAGGTTACAGTGAAATGACATGGAGCAACGTGTCCTTAATCAAAGAATAAACAGTGACCAAATGCTCCCAAACAAGCAGCTGGCAATGTGAAAACCGAAAAAAAGCACACTGGAAGTTCTGGAATCCAGAGACTGCCTGTGTTAAATATACAGTCATGAACCTATTGTTTATGGCATATTTTCAAGTTTATCATGTAGTATGAGTAGCTCTTTTTTTAACTGGATTTTTCTCTCTTTTTTTTTTTCGAGCTCTTCTTGTCTTCTGGGTATTGATCCTCTATCCTTAGCAAACCTCAGACTCTAAGCTTTGTCTTCATTCTTTTTTGTTACTGAATAATATTGCATTCAATGGATAATCTCATTTTATTTTAGGTATCCATTCATTCATTGATGGATATTTGGATTGTTTCTAAGTTGGGGCTGTCATGTATCATAAATGCTTATAAACATTCAAATATAAATATATAAAGTAAAAATCTGGTCTTAGCCTACAAGTTCAATTGTAAAATTCCTCCCTCCTTCTCCATTTTTTTTCCTTTCCATCTAGTGTTAGATGGAAAATAGTAACCAAATTTTCAAATGATTTTTTTTTTCAGTTGGTCATGGGGCCTGAACTCTGGGCCTGGGCACTGTCCCTCAGCTCTTCAGATCAAGACGAGCACTCTACCACTGGAGCCATAACACCACTTCCAGCTTTTTCTGCTTATATGGTACTGAGGAATCGAACCCAGGGCTTCATGCATGCAAGGCAAGCACTCTACCACTGAGCCACCTTCCCAGATTTTTTTTTAAACAAGGCTATAACATTAGATTAACAGTAGGCTGCATTTCAAAGGTGTGCTTCCCCCTTTCTCTTTACCCTACGGGTCTTGGAAGTGGTTTATGTTTTCAGTGAGGCATTGCAGTTTACTAGTCTTCTACAGGGAATTTCCACATGCCTGAGAAACAGCGATTTAATGATGCATGCACATTGTGGGCATCCAGAGAGCCCCAGCTTGCAGTAGTTCTCTCCTTAGAACTATGGCTGAGACTCCTTGCAGGAGGGGCAGGAACAGAGATGGATTCCACTAGTCCCATAGGGGTGTGTGTTGGGGAGGAGGATGAATAGGGAATGGGAACAGGTATTGATGAACTTATTGTCTTAGCAGCCAAAGGAAGCAGTTCTATTAAAGGAGGACATTGTTCCTGAGGTTTTAGCCACATGGTAAAGTCCTGACAGTTTTTAATGACTTTCCAGGAGAGTGAGAAAGAGTAAACTCAGCAGTCAGCTATTACTCTGTAGCCAATAGAGTCTCACTGTTAATTAGTTGCTCTCTGGGTGAGTGGGTGGGGGGTGGCAAAGGTCCTCTGCCTGTATTTGAAGGATGTAGCTACGTGGTTAAATATAATAACACCGGGAAGGTCTCTGCCTTATTGCAAGTAATAGCTCAGCAACAATGTTACAAGGAATTCAAAAACAGATTGTCCGAGTTGTTTCCAACTGGAGGGCAAATGGAAAAAAGAACAAAAACTCTGGCTAAAGTAAATACAAAAAAAAATTGTTTTCAGAAACCACTTGGAGCTGCCAATGAAGAAAATAAGTTTATAAATAGGAAGCAATTTCCTTTGTGCTCCAAGTTTCTTCTTTGCACCTTTTTCTGGTATGTGTTGGGGATAGTTTTTGTTGCTAAGGAAATATATTTTTATGAAGAGGGAGGACAGTTGCACTGAGAAAATTGGGAGTAGCCGAGCTAGAGGGGAGAGAAGAAGATAGGAGTTGAAGTTATGAAATACATCAAGGGTTGTGGCGGACATGTCTCTGGGTGTTCAGGTAGACGTGAGATTGAAGATTTCCTGAGCACTCTTCCCCTAGGAAATCCTGTCCGCCTGGGAAAGCCTAATGTGTCCCCATCAGTGGTTACTTGCATTGACATGGAGCTAGGGGCATTCTGTAGTTGCTTCTGTGTGCTCACCTTTGTTAAAATGATGGATATGAGTAAGTAGAAGAGTGTGTGTTTGGCATATACAAGGCCCTGGGTTTAGCTCCCAGCACCTCACACCATGGCTTTGTTCCTAGGGAGTTCAATGATCAAAGCATCCTTGGTAAAACTCTGCACCTGGGGGTACAGGTATAGCTCAAGGGTAGAGTGTTTGCTCAGCATACATGAGGACCTGGGTTCAAGCCTCAGCCCTACAGAAATTTTTTTTAAGAAAAGAATTCATGTCGTGGCTCCTCTCCCTTCCCCATGCCAGTCTATGTTTCTGTGGGTCTCCATTTCTCAAGAAAAGTGTTTCTACTCCTTGGATCTGGTGAACAGGAGAGTTTTCCGCCAAGCACGGGGGGATTGAACTGCAAACTTCACTAAGGAACATGTTTTCCTCTTGCCTCAAGGGTCACTGAAATGTCGGATACATACCCTTCCCCCTCAGCATCCAGCGCAGCGGCCAGTTCGGTCAAGAGGAGCCCAGTGAGAAAGTGCTGCTGGCGGTACTCAGGAGTCAGGTCAAACATGCTGGCGATCTTCTGGTCCTGGAAGCTGGAACAGGAGCTGGAGTTCTACAGAGAACACAGCGGCAGGCTGTGAGTATGAAGAACTGGAATTACAACACCTGAGGCAAGCCTTGCACCAGCCAGGCCTTGGGAGAGCTAGACAGTCAATGGGTCCTGCGAGGACCCTGTGTGTCAGATGAGCAAACCGAGATGTAGAATGGGTAATTTTGTTTCCCCATTCTGCAGATCTCCCAACCGCTAATCAGAAATGATGAAAATAAAGCTCGGTGGAAAAAAAATCAGATGTAGTTGAGGGGTAAGAGTGCTCGTTTAGCAAACCTGGGTTCAATTCTTACACCATCCATAGCTGAGGATTAAAATCCTAAGAAAATAGAAACCCTTTTGTACAACTAGCATGTACTAATAAAATGCAAAATAAATAAGTAAAATGAGAAATGCCTCTAATTCTGTAGCTCTGGCTTCTTTACACTGCACTTCTGAAGACCGCTTGCATTCCACATCTGAATTTGGCTGGCCTGGGAGCTGAACCAGGCAGGGAGATATGTTAAGGCTACCAAAAGGCAGTTTTTGCCCCATATTCTCATCAGAAACACTTGAGTATCAAAAGTGAATGATGGAGGGGCTGGGAAGGTGGCTCAGTGGTAGAGCGCTTGCCTTGCATGCATGAGGCCCTGGGTTCGATTCCTCAGCACCACATAAGCAAAAAGAAAAAAGCCAGAAGTGGCACTATGGCTCAAGTGGTAGAGTGCTCGTCTTGAGCTGAAGAGCTGAGGGACAGTGCCCAGGCCCAGAGTTCAGACCCCAGGACTGGCAAAAAACAAAAACAAAAAATTTAAAGTGAATGATAGAGCTGTGGCTGGTAGTAGCTCTTGCCTATAATCTTACTCAGCAGGCTGAGACCTAAGGATGATGGTTCAAAGCCAGTCCAGTCAGGAAAGTCTGTGAGACCCTTATCTCCAATTAACTACCCAAAATGCCAGACGTGGAGCTAAGGCTCAAGCGGTAGAGCAACAGCCTTGAGGAAAAAACAAAACAAACAAACAAACTCAGAGACAGTGCCCAGGCTTTGAGTTCAAGCCCCAGGGCAGACAAAAGAAAAAAAAAGTGAATGATGGAAAAGGGTGACATTAATGAAGCGACATTGTACTCATAATCCAACTTGTTGAATTCAAATCCTTTGGTACAACTACTGCAATTTAAAAGAAGTGTCTCTAAATCCCCTTGCTTTGCTGCGCTCAGGCCTCTGGGGTGCTAACTGCCTGTGGCATCTACCAGAGAAACGTCGGAGGAGGACTGGAGCAAAGCCAGCGTAGGGTGGTCTGATGACTTCATCCGAAGGGCCTGCTATTACGGCAGCAACGTACACATTTGGGATGTTGCTTGTGGGCCCGATGTATCCCAGGTCCCACAGACGTTCCTTCCTGAAGCCAACATCTGGACCAGGCCAAAGTGGCATCAAGGGCTAAGACTTCTTTTTCTACACCGGGATGGGGAGCTCTCTTAGATGCCTAGGCTGATGTGGAATTCCGGGGCTCAAATCATCCTCCCACCTCAGCTTCTGAGTCCTAGAACTGGCAGGCATGCCTCTGCAGCTGCTTTTCTTCTTTCCTTCCCTTCCTTCCTTCCTTCTTTCCTTTCTTCCTTCCTTCCGCTTTCTTTCTTTTCCTTCTTTCTTTCCTTCATTTCTTCCTTTCTCTTTCATTTCTTTCCTTCCTTCCCTTCCTTTTCTTCCTTCCCTTTATCTCCTTCCATCCTTTACTTCTTTCTAATCTTTACTTCTACTTTCATTCTTTTCTTCCTCCTTCCTTTTTCTTTCCTCCCTCCCTCCTTCCTTCCTTTCTTTCCTGCTTCCCTTCCTTCCTTCCTTCCTCCTTTCTTCTTTCTTTCATTCTTTCGTTCCTTCTTTCTTTCTTAGAAAGCCTTTACATTTCTGCTAACATCAAGAAACAGGCAACAGAAATAGAATCTAATATTAAGACTGAAAACTATTGCTTGCTCTGCTGAGCTGCTGATTTGGTTCTTACAAATGGAACGAGACTATCAAACACTATTTCCTTAAGGGTTTTCCACATGACATTAGTCCCTTGAGAAGTCAATGGTGGGGGGTGGGGAATGGTTTCTGGAGTAAAATCACTGCCTGTCACACAAACCTCTTCCTATCTCCTCTTCCATCTCATAGCACTTTAAATTTGCATGAACATGTTAAAAGCTCTAGATGGCCTATGCAAAGAAACCTGGCTAACAAAGTGTTTCCTAAGCTCGTCTGACTTTGGAACCTTGCATTTGCATAATATCTTAATTGGTTAAGATATTAATTGGTTAATCTTTTCTTTAAATTTCTTAATTTTCCCAGCATGTAGAGATTTTTTTATAGTTGTTCCTTGTCAGAGAGGGAATCCCAATGCTTACCCGAATCTAGTAAGAAACCAAACTATTTTGCTTGCAGATTATCAGTGAACTTGGTAGAATTTCAAGGTGGCATAACCCACGCACTTCTACGTGCACTGATCTGATATCATCACTTCAATTTTCTTTGAATTAATAAGATCAACATTGGCAGGAACTGCCTCATTAAGCTAATGGAATAAAGCCGAACCAGTGATTCCTTCATTGCTGGTTACCTGGGACGATATGGAGGGACAAGGGGAGGCCGGTGCAGGATCAGCATTCATGAAGAAGAGGCTGAGGTTGAGGTAATGTTCGTGGCTACAGAGGATTCTCAGGAACTCCAGGCGCATGGAAATGAGTGTGGGGAGGTTATTGAGCTTGGCTGAGAGCTGGGAAGAGACGTGAACAGAGGGAAGAAGTGTGCGTTGTATGATAGCTGGAGTTGAGTCTGACAAACACAAAAATATCCTTTCTCTCTCCCATTCCCCTCTCTGCATTCTCTCTTCTTTTTCTTGAGACAGAAGCTTACTATGGACAGATTGGCCTCAAGCTCCCAATCCTTGTAGCAACATAGCTGTGAACCACTCACCCTGTTCCAATCATTTCCCCCCATTTATTAGTTTCCCTTAATACTTTAACCTAATAGCTATTCCCAGAAGGATTCCTGCCCTGATCCTCACTTTTTCAAATCTATAATACTACAACAAGGCTTGTAGAAAATAAACTTGAGGTCTGTCTTCAGTATAACATTATTTTATAATACCCCACTTGTGTTTGAGATGCTAAAGAGCTAGCCTCACACAGGATGGAGTACAACTAATGGAATAAGACTGAATGATGTTAGTTCTGGGGTGTTTTCTTTTCTCTTCCCCCCCTCCATTTTTTGTCTTTTGTGCCAGTTGGGGGGCTTGTATTCAGGGCCTGGGCTACTTTCCCTCATCTTTTATTGTTGTTGTTGATGTTGTTGTTGGTCATGGGGCTTGAACTCAGGGCCTGGGCATTGTCCCAGAGGTTTTTTCACTCAAGGCTAGTGCTCTTACTACTTTGAGCCACAGCACCACTTATAGTTTTTTGGTGGTTAATTGGAGGCAAGAATCGCATGGACTTTCCTGCCTGGGCTGGCTTTGAATTGTGATCCTCAGACCTCGGTCTCCTGAATAGGTAACATTACAGGTGTGAGCCACCAGTACCTGAGTCTGCTGGGGGTGATTTCTAGTTGTTTTACACATGTACCTAAAGCTCTAATTATGGTCGGGCATCTTGAGGGAGCCAGTGAATGAACAATTTTATTTAAAAAGTGGGGCAATTAACACTGACAAACTGTACATAAATTATAAAATATTTGCTTTGTGCTCAGTGAAATTCGCTTTCTGATTATTTCAGGGCTCTGCAGAGTCAGAATTTCCCAACAGCAATGTAATGCATCACTCTAAGAGGGAAAAGAGCTCTCATATTTTGAACTATAGATCTGGTCAATGAATGGCTGCCTAGGCATTTGATTTCTGTTACGTGTTGGATTGGAAAAATCACACCCTATTGCTAACAAATTTCAGCTCCCATGGATGGATGAACTTGTTACTGGGCCAGTACATAGAGTCTAGGTGAAGAGCATGTGAGAGGGTGCCCTCGGCAGAGGCATGAAGACATCCCACGAAGCCCAAGCATGGGTAAGGGCTGCCTAACATGGCAGTAGAACAACATTCCAGCACATGGGGGACCAGAAACGGAACTCTCGAATCAGAGGCACTCACCTGGTTGCAGTACTGTCTGATTAGGTTAAACACAAAGACACGGTCCATGAGGGAGAGAAGGTCGTACAAGAAGAAAGCCAGGCTGATGTTGATCTTTTCTGCCTGTTCACTTTCCTTGAAAAACAAACATTGCAAACAGATACAGATCATTTTGTACAAGCCCTGGATGTGAACTCCAGGATCCCTGGTGGTAGGAATACTAGAGGAGGCAGGTCCAATTATTTCGGCCACTGTCCCTCCGGGTGACACTGGATGAAACAGATTTAAGTCGGAAAAGTCTAACTGTGCTTTTGGCAGCCATGACTGTCAGGTCTGTAGGTACTGCCAATATTCAGTCTTCCCTTCTACTCATCTTTTTCCAACTTGCATGTTATAGATGTATATGTATGTATGCATATACACATATACGTATATATGCACATATATATGTATATTTAATATGTTTGACCTCATTCTCTCCATAGAAGTTTGTGCCCTGAATTTATTACTTCTTTTTATTTCTGTATGTAGTCCAGGCTAGCAATGAATGTTGCTCCTCCTGCGATTTACAGGTACATACCACAATGCCCAGCTCATTATTTCTCCCTTTGACACACTAACTTAAAATATATTTACTGTCTTCAATGAAACAGATTCTTAAATTTATAAGGATTATTGAAGAAATTCTAATCAAGATAAAAGGTTCAATTTTTAGCTAAGTATTTTCCCTCCCCCCAATCAGGCAGAGTTCCCAGCTTAAGAGAGGTCAGTCATACTCCATGAGGTGCATTTCTGCATGAATCGGGGCTGGTTTTCTTTTTAAAATTACTTCTCACTGGGTGCCATTGGCTCATGCCTGTAATCCTAGCTACTCAGGAGGCTGAGATCTGAGGATTACGGGTTTGAAGCCAGCCCAGGAAGGAAGGTCTGTGAGACATTTATCCACTATAAACTCATGCTCATGTTTACGAGGGACTTTCAGACACGTCAGAGTCACAGGGAGTCATCTTTCCACGTTTCTTCTCAGATGGATACAGCCATTTCCTTGGTCACTATTGAAAATATAACTTGAAACTATTTTAAGCTTTGAAATTCAGGCCAAGACGAGCAGTCATGAGATTGGATGGAGGTCTGACAAAGAGCATGACTGAGAGACCCCGAGCAGGCTCCCCGCCCCCCCCCCCATGTAGCCTCTCTCTCCCGGCCTACCCTGGGGGTTCACCTGACTGAATCCCTGCATGGGAAGTCTTCAGTCTGGAACACGTGTCATCCTTGCTTGTGCCTGTTTTCATAACTGCCAATAGGGAGATACTACTGCTGGTCTAACCAAGAGTGCCAAGAGAAAGTACTATGTAAGGAGTCTCTTGAGCCCTTGGTATTATATAAACTCTTATTTTTTAAAAAAAGTGGTGCCAGCAATGAGGCTTGAACTCAGGAGCTGGGTACTATCCCTTGGTTTTTCCACACAAGACTGGTGCTCTACCAGTTGGGTCACACCTCCACTTCCAGTTTTTTCTTGCTGGGTAGCTAGAAATACGAGTCTCATGGACTTTCCTCTTTGGACTGGCTTTGAACTGTGATCCTCAGATCTCAGCCTCTTCGGTAGCTAGGATACAGGCGTGAGCCATCAGCACCTGGCTACCATACAAATTCAATGATGGACACGTCAATAAAGTGTCATAGTTACCTTTTTAACTTTCTATTTATACTTTAAACTTTTATTCTGAAACAATTCCAAACTCACAGAAAAAATGCAGGAGCAGCACAAAGAACTCGGACGCATCCTATAACCAGGTCCATCAATGTGTGAAATTTGCATTATGAGCATTCACTCACTCTACCTACATTTTTTTTCAGAACCATTTGTGAACAGGTTGCAAGTATCAGTCTGCTATATTCTGTAAAACTTCAAGGTATAATTCCTTAGGAGCAGGAGTAATTTCTTCCATTTTTATATTGATATGATTATTTACATGATGGTAGATACACACTGCAATTTATTTATACAAATTCCCAGTCCTGGTCTAGTGGAACATACTGTATATCATGCATGATTGCATTTTACCTGTAATCCTCTTTTTCAGGAAGCTGAGATCTGAGGATCACAGTTCAAAGCCAGCTCAGGCAGGAAAGTCCATGAGACTCTTATCTCCAATAAACCACCAAAAAAGGCAGAAGTAGAACCATGACTCATGTGGTCTAGAGTGCTGGCCGTAAGCACAAAAGCTTAGGGACAGCACCTGGGCCCTGAGTTCAAGCCCCGGACTGGATTTAGGAAGTTACAAGCAAGAGACACAATTTACCTTCTGAGGCTTCACTAAAAGAGCTGCAATTTCCGAGGTGACCACATTGACAATGGTAGTTATGTCATCTTGGAAGCGGTCAGAGAAACGAGTCCTCCGAAAACTGTCACGTTTGTCCAGGTTATGTATATACTCAGCCATGCTTTTCACCTACAGAGGAACAGGGGAAGTGTCATCAACGTGGAGGCTGGTGACCCGCTTGTACAATGTGCCAACTGGGGACAGACTAAAGAAAGGCTTTCCTACAATAGACTCTGACACATGATTGGTGCTGGTGGTGCTGGCGCAGGATTACAAAATGCTTCAGAGACACAAATGGTTGTCACGGCAGCAGGAGGTGGGAAGGGTGTCCTCTTCTTGACCCCGAGTCAGGGGGCTTCTTTCTTGCTGCTGACAAAGCCAGGAGCTTAATTCTTTAGCTCCTATGTCAAAAGACACCCCCTCTTCTTCTCCTCAGCCTCTACCCTGGGAGGCAGAGCTAGGCTTGGCTCCAAAAAGTATCAGCTGTCAAAGAATGACACAGGGCTATAAAGGAAGTGTTTCTTATGGTATTTGCTGCTCCTGAAACTGTAGTAAAGAAAATATAGGAGATGTCAGGCACTGGGGGCTCATGCCTGTAATCCCAGCTACTCAGGAGGCTGAGATATAAGGATTGCGGTTTAAAGTCAGCCCTGGCAGCAAAGTCCATGGAACTCTTGTCTCTAATTACGTGCCAGGAAACGAGAAGTGGAATTGTGACTCAAAGTGGTAGAGTACTAGCTTTGTGCAGTAAAAGATCAGGGATAGTAACCAGGTCCTGAGTTCAAGCACCACAACCAACAGAAGAAAAGAAAAAGGAAAAGAAAAGAAAATAGGGGAGACATGGTTCTTCTATTTTGAGTTCCAAGTTGAAAGAGAAAGTGGGAGATTTTCCAGAAAAGAAATCTATAGTTTATGAATGGGATGTTTTCTGTTTCTGTAAATTTAAGCTATGTCAATCAATCACTCTATCTATGTACCAATTAGTGACTAGTATAATACCAACTAAATGACTATCAAATTGTTGTTTATTGTACTTGGGATTGAACTTAGGGCCTTGTGCATGCTAGACAAGAACTCTACCACTAAGCTATGAACCGATTCCCTGGCTCTGAGACACAAAGGGGCTATTTAGCCCAGGCTGGCCTGGAATTAACTCCTCGTCCTCTGGCCTTGCCTCTCAAAATACCTACTATAATTTAAAATATAGATCCTATTTATGTTTTAGACTTCTTCCAGGGACTAGGAGAGTCATGAGTAAACACAACCCTCTTTGGTTTTATCAGAAGTTGAGTCTTACCTTTGGTGGAAATTACTGAGAGACCCTGGGGGAAATCTGGAAGGTCTCATGGTTGGGTGCCTATACTCTGCAGTCATTTGCGTGAATTTGTCTAGTCTAAGTCAGAGTTACTGCAAGAAAGAAATGGCCCTGGATGTTGAACTGCTCACATCTGCCCCTAAGTTTGAGGCCGGATCATTGCATGGAAATTGACTTCCATTTCCAAGAACTATTTGGGTAGATTTCTACACCAACAGAAGATTTTTTTTTTCTCAGAGAATGTAGGATGGGCATATTGTTTTGTTGTTCATGGAAACAAAGTGAAAACAGAAGGCTGATATAAGAAAAACAGAGAAGTAGTCTTTATGTGTTCCATCTTGCAGATAATGCCATAGCCAGCTTAGGGAAGACCCACGAAGCTAAGACTATATAAGATCTTTGGTATAAGAAACCACCACTTCCCCAGGTTATTCACTGATATGGACACACCCCGCAGACTTAGTGAGAGGATCTGAATGGGGGTGGGGCCCTGACCCCATTTTTGTTTAATAAAAGCATTCTCTCTCGTTGTACTCTTCGCCAGGGACGGAAGCAGACAAGTTCTTTGTGTTTGGGTCACTCCAGCCCTGATTCTCTTCTGGCTGCTCCCCCTCTCCCTCTCAGCCCCATGCTTTTAGAGCTCACTGTGGTATTCAGGGTGTAAGTTTGGCCATCTTACCACCAAATAAATAATTCTCACAATATGGTACTTTCAACTGATGGCCTCTTTTCAGACCTTCAGCAACCTGCCAGCTGCTGGGTCTCCAAGTCTGCAGAGAAGAATACTCAGCAGAAATATGAATGGATGGTTGGCCCATTATTTGTAGGTTGAGTTGAGGGCAGGAAATTTTTTTCCCTCCCATATTGGCCTTCAAAGTAGGGGCATCTCTTAAGAACCCCTCAATGCAGTACTTCCTGGCATGAAGGAGTACCTCTGGTCTCCAAGATCTGGCTCAGCAGTTTCTAGAAGCTGCGGGAAGGGGCTTATTGACTAGCAAATGGGAAATGCACCCCAGGTTTGTGCTGGCCAGTTCTTAAGACAAAGTAAGTTGTTCATTAGCACCTGGCCATCATCACAACTATCAACCGGCATCAGTTGGGCATTAAGAGTGCCCAGGGTGTGGGCTATTATTTCTTTCTCTTCAAGCTTCTGGGAGGGGATGTTATTTTGCTTTTAAGTAACTTTCAGGACCTCAATGATCCACCAAACCTCTTTTCTTTCTGTTCTCCAGTTTACTAGCCGAAGCTCATGGCCACAGACACAGCAAGCAGCAGAATTAGGGCTAAAATAACCTAAGGCTTTGGAATATTCTGGCCGGCAGGAGGCAGCTAGAGTGCACTGTGCAGGTTTGAAGGTACAGACTCAAGTCTATAAGATTCATGGAGGACTGTGTCTGAGATCAATTTCTTTGTACAGTCCTGGCTGGGGGCTGGTAGTTTCCATCTGCATGGACCACAGCCTTCTCAAGATTTCTTGTCCTTCTTTATCTTTGAATGCTGCAAAGGTGTCTGTGTTGGCATCAATGGGTCCCTTGCCCTCTCTTTGGCTTCCACTGGAATTGGCCAATGAGAGGCTCAAGAAGGGGATCAATGCAGAGAATAGAGAGGTTTGGCATCCAGTCACCTCTATTGGCTTCATCCTTGCCACAGTGTGATATGCCAGTGGCAGTGTTTGTGTAAGGCTCGTGCCCCTGTCATGTGGACCTCTTTGACTCCAGCTTTCTCTAGGCCCCAGTTAGGACCCCTGCCTCAGGGTGGTACAAAGAGTATGTGCCTGGCACAGATAAAGTAAAGTGCTCTGTGTACTTTGGGATGTGCTTCGCTGTCCTTCTTCCCAGATGCCAGCTGTTACTGGGATTGTGTGACGCACAGAGCATGCACCTGCAGAGAACGCACACTCGCCTGTGAAGCTGAGCGATATGACACCATGGGGAACCACGCGGGTGAGCAATGCTGTGTTTACGGTGGCTGGGAATGAATAACAATGACAGCACTGCCCTGAAGTTGATTTTGGAATGGGGAAGATCTGGCTTCTCACTCCTCAAGAAGAAAAGACAGTGAATCATATGGCTTGTGTTTCTTTTTTTTTTTTTTTTTTCTCCAGTTGTGGGACCTGAACTCTGGGCCCTCAGCTCTTCAGATCAAGGCTAGCACTCTACCACTGGAGTCACAGCATTACTTCCAGCTTTTTCTGCTTATATGGTGCTAAGGAATCAAACTCAGGGCCTCAGGCATGCAAGGCAAGCACTCTACCACTGAGCCACCTTCCCAGCCCATGGCTTATGTTTCTTAAAGCTGATGTTCTTGCCCTAAAACCCGTGAGCTGCCATCACTTGCTCTAACCAACTGGGCTTTCAGGATGCATAACTCTGTGCTGAATGAGTCAAAATTCTCAAGACCTTTACTCTATGTAGTACTCGAAGCAGAGTTGACATAGGCCTATGCATTACAGGTGAGTTTTGAGGTCACCTGAGAAGTCAGGGGAAAATGTACATTGCTTCCTCTTTCTTAATTTCATTCAGCAGTACTAGAGAGAAGTAAAAAAGAAATATGTGTGATCCTAGTGATTCAGGAGGCTGAGATCTGTTAAATAGAAAGAGAATACAAGGGCTTGTTGTTGTTAGTTGCAGGGCTTGAACTCAGAGCTTATCCTCTATCCCTGAGCTCTTTTGCTCAAGGCAAGTGCTCTACCACTTGAGCCACAGCTCCGCTTCCAGTTTTCTAGTGGTTAAGTACAGATAAGAGTCTCATGGACTTTCCTGCCCGGGCTGGCTTTGAACTGCAATCCTTAGATCTCCGCCTCCTGAGCAGCTTGGATTACAGACATGAACCACCAATGCCCAGTTATTAGAAGGGCTTTTGAGCCTTTGGAAGACCTGTGCTTTATTCTCAGTCTATTGAAAATTATTGGAGAGTTTTAAAGAGGGGCGTGCTGTATTTGTTTAATGTGCAAGTGTCCCTGCACATTGGATGGCCCAAAGGCGAAAATGGATTCAGGAAAAGGAAACAGAAAAATGTTGCAAGTGGCACCAGAGAGAGGAGATGGTGGGTTGGCTGGGCGGGGAACATGAGCAATATGGCAGGTTGGTTGTTAATTGTCAAGGTTGAGTCGGGTTCTGTGGAAGGCAGATAGGAGGGGAGGGATATTTAGATTTCAAGGGCCAATCCCAGATTTTCAGCAGAAGCAGCTCTGTGAACAGAGTGGTCATCCCTAATATGGAGACGGCCAGCCACTTAGCGACCAGGTCATTTTTTTTTCTTGCCCTACGGTGCACACATAGAAACACACAAGAATCTCACCAGAAGCTCAAAGAAGAACCAGGAGTACTTGAAGACTGTTTCTCTCACCATCCCAGTGCTGACCACCATCTGCAGGGCAAGCTCCTCGTGGAAATGCTGAAGAACAAGCACAGAAAACACCCTGTGACACGAGGCTTTGGTCCACCAAACCTCTTTTCTTTCTGTTCTTCTCCAGTGTACTAGTCGAAGCACATGGCCACAGACATAGTGAGTGGTAGGATCTGTGCCAAAATAACCGGAGGCTGGGGAACATTCTGGTGGATAGGAGAAGGCTGCAGAGGCACTGTGCAGGAGAGCTAGGTGGGAAGGGTCAGACTTTAGCCCACCAATGAGACTGCATTCTCTGGGCAGTGCTCCAGGACGGGCGAGCACACAGGCCACACAGCGTGCACCCTGCCCTTTGCCCTCTGGATCTTTTTTTATTTTTTCATTCATAAGGTTGGTTGGTTGTAGCCATGGTTCTCAAGTTTGAATGTGTATCGGGATCCCCCAGAGAGCTCCGTAAGGCACACACATGGCTGGGCACCAAAGCACAGACACTGAGCCAGTGGGTCTGGGATAGAGGGCTTGAGCACGTGCATTTCCACCACGTTTCTGGAGCTGATCATGCTATCAGCCGCTCTTGGAGGACTGCTTACCAGAGAGCATCTAAGTCCACTCTAGTCTGGACAATTTTTCTTTGCATAATCCTGCTATGGATTCATGTGGGAAATGTGATTGGAGGGGTTTAGGAGTGGGGCCTGTATATTAATAGACAATCGTGGCTTGTCTCATGACTTCTACATTCCCATCTTCCTAGGACAAATGCTTAGGAAACCCCTTATTCCACTTACATCTTCTACTCTATAAAATCATCTGACTGCTCTATGGAAGAGGGTGCCTTTCTCATCAATCTTATCTTTTAATTTATCTGGATACTTATTAATGTTCTTGATAATAATAATAATAATAATAATGTGTGTGTGTGTGATCTTAGGGCTTGAACTCAGGGCCTACACTGTTCCTGAGCTTTTTATGCTCAAGGATAGTGCTCTACTCAAGCCACAGCTATACTTCTGGCCTTTTGTGGTTAATTGGACATAAGAGTCTCACAGATGTTCTTGCACAGGCTTTGAACTGTGACCCTCAGATCTCAGCTTTCTGAATAGTGAGGATTATAGGCATGGACCAGTGGTGCCCAGTTTGATGGAGAAGAAGTTGAGGACCAAGGGTGGAGCTAACAATTCATTCTCAGTTTGCTTGATCCTATCTTGGTCTCAAAATGCATCATGGGCACCTAAAAAGTCATTTTTAACTACAAGTGACATTTTATGCATGGTTCATTGTATGGATCATGACTTTTCTCTAGAATTCAAGGTGGAAATGTGAATTAAGTAGGATGAGAGTGCTCAGAGATCCTTATGGTGAGGACTGATATGCTTAATGTAAATATGGAATAAGTACCTAGATTTCTAGGAGATTCATGTTGTAACACCATCCATTTATAAGTAAAAACATTAAGATATTAATGTTTTAGCTTTGGTATTTTGATACAAAATATATGCTCTACCATAAAGCCAAAATATACATCTTGAGGACCTCTTTAGTTCTGGCAAAGCAAGGTAATTGGTTATGCCCAACTAAAAACAATGTCTATGAATTTTCTGTGGCTTTCATTCACTTACACTTGGTAAAAATCTACAGTTAATACAGATAACCTCAAGTAAATATTGCACAAGTAATAGTTACATTAAAAATACTTGAACACCCAAATATCACTTTTGTGTGTGTGTGTGTGTGTGTGTGTGTGTGTGTGCCAGTCCTGTAGCTTGAACTCTGCCTGTCTGCTGTCCCTGAGTTTTTGTGTGGAAGGCTAGTGTTCTATCACTTTCAGCCACAGCTCTTCTTCTGGCTTTTGCTCCACAGACTGGCTTTGAACTGTCATCTTCAGATCTCAGCTTCCTGAGTAGCTAGGATTACAGACACGAGCTACCAGCACCTGGCTTTAAATATTACATTTTTACTGTGGAAATTAAAAGTTTAAAGTCAACCCGAAACAAAAATGGATTATAACAATGATTGCTCTTTTCAGTCCTTTAAATCACCCAGAGAATACAATAAACATACTACCAAATTTATGATTTCCTAAGGTTATGGAAATTAGAGTTATGGATATTAAAATTAGAGATCTAATTAGCTAAATAAGAAGACAAACAGAAAATCTTGGCACAGTGTTCTCAAATTACTTCCATTACTAGTCAGGTCAGGTTATCAACTGATTGCCTTTTTTTTTCTTTAGGTAGGTTAAATGCCAGTAATCTTCATATTTGTGAGCATAAGTGTTTGCTGTTGACTTTTGAGAGGCTGCGCCATATGGGACGGGCATGGGGTTGAGTTTTAATCTAGCAGGTGGTCAGCGATGCACGTGACATAACTTGCTACGTCTCCATCTTCCCAAATAGGAAAGACAAGCTCGCTCCGCCCACTTCAATGTTAGCCTCTGGAAATAGGTCAGTCTGACTATCAGAGTCTTATGGCAGGAAGAGATTAGACAAGGCTAAGCGGCTTCTTAAAGTAATTTATGCTGCTTACTAGGCAACATTATTACCAGAACACCTTGCTCCAGAGGTTATATAAAACAGCCAAGCAGCAAAGCTCTGTTTGCTGAGCTATGAAGGAAACATTTGGGCTTCCTTACACTTCCCCCTGAAATGATTTACTTTTGGTTATTTCAGATCAAATAAGGCAATTGCAAAATCAAACATGACCTTAAGGAAGTCAGGCTGAAGGCAAAGAGTGTTTTTTGTTTTGCCGATCCTGTGGCTTGAACTCAGGGCCTGGATGCTGTCCTTGAGCCTCCTTGTGCTCAAGGCTAGCTCTCGACCACTTGACCCACAGTGCCATTTATGGTTTTCTGATGGGTAAATGGGGTTAAGAGTCTTTCAAACCTGGCTTTGAACCATGATCCTCAGATCTCAGCCTCCTGAGTAACTAGAATTACAGGCGTGAGGCACCAGCGCCTGACTGGGAGTGGTTTTCTTTTCAAGAAGGAAAGTGGTGCTTGTACTCAGTTCCTGCAGAAGGGGCTCCGACTGCTAAGTTTAGGGTAGTTTAGGGTAGTTGACCAATCAATGCTTAATCTGACAGTGTCTTTCACTTTTATACATAACTCTTGGCACCTCCCAGCGGACAGAACGGGGCTGCATTCCTGCAAAAGCCACAGTGCAAGGCCCAGTGAACCTTCCCTCCTCAAGGCCAAAGGTTCTGACCCTCCAAAGGTTGGCATGTCCTGTCTTGCTGGCTATTGCAAATGGTGGGGGACTTACTGTATGCAGTCAGCATATTTGGTTTTGTAGTAGTAGTATTGGGGATTCAACTTGGGGCCTTACACTTGCTCTACCACTTGAGCCACACCACTTAATAGCTTAATAAGTAGCTTAAGCATAAGCATAAGTCATTTTCTGTATGAATTACTTTCAAGGCAGGGTCTCACTTTATGCCCAGGCTGGTCTGGGCTACCATCCTCCTACTAATACTTCTTCATGTTGCTAGGGAGGACAAGTGTATCCTTCTTTGTGTAGTCCTTATAATTCCTTCCATAGCTGGCTAACAAACATGTGCCACCAGGTATAAGTCAGTGGTTGGAAAAGAATCTCACAAGCTTTTATACGCATATGGGTCTTGAACCATCATCCTTTAATCTCTCTCCCAAGAACCTAGGATTGCATGATATTCTTACTGGCTGCTGCTGGCTGGCTCACACTACAATCCTAGCTGCTCAAGAGGCTGAGATCTGAGGATCATGGCTCAAAGCCAGCCTGGGCAGGAAAGTCTGATAGATTCTTCAATTACACACACACACACACACACACACACACACAGAGCTGGAAGTGGAGGTATGGCTCAAGTGGTAGAGCATCAGCCTTGAGGAAAAAAGCTAAGCTACAGTGCTCAGGCCTTGAGTTCTATAAAGCCCTAGTACTGGCAGGCAGGTAGACATGCATACAAACATGCTTGCTCGTGCGTGCGCACATGCGCACAGACACACATACATACAGATTTTAATAGATGCTCAAGACCTCAACAGAAGTAGCTACTCTAATAGTGAGATGCTGGGGTTGTCTAGCAGAAGAGGAACCTTGGTAACCCAGCTGACTTTCTGTCCATCTGTCGGTCGGAGCACATCAGCTAGGACAATGAGGAATTTCGTTGGTTTGAGGAATTCCTCACTTCGTGAAGTTTCTCAACTCATAAGTAGACTCACGAGGAAGCATTTTCACTGTACTTCATACAGTACTGAAATAACTTACACCTAATTACTGGCATTCACTTCTGGGAAGAATGAATGATCCCTATTTCTCAATGTGGTCCTTGGAAACTTGTTAGGAAAACACATTCTTGGGCCCCAGCTCAGATGTACTGAGCCAGAAACTTTGGGAATAGGGTCCAGCCAGCAGTGTTAAGAAGCCTTCTAGGTAATTCTAATATAATGGCTAAGTTTGTGAGCTATTGATTGAGAACGTAAATGGCTCCCAAATGAGAAAATTATGAAAGAGTTTTTATGTATGCCTTGTGCGTGCCCAAGACTATCTAGACAGGAACAATAGATACTTCGATAGCATCCATTTTCAATCATAGGCTCAGGCAACTCCTTGTGGGATTATCCTCACACTGTCCTGCTCCATACCTTTTTACTGGCTGGCCTTGGAGCTGCCATTGAACTTGGAACATCGTTATTGCCAGAACCATAGTAAGACATCCGGCTGCAGTTGCGATCAGACATCTGAAACACATAAACCACAACCCAACAGTCACACTGGAAAAGGGGCACACTGGAAAAGTCAGCCAACTACCTGGAAATGCCAACCTCAGAATACACTGCTTATGGATTTCTTACTTTTTTTTTTTTCTGGTTACAGAGGTAAACTAATCATCACATATAAATATAGAACAAAACAGAGCAAATTCACATTTATTTTTGATTGCTCCTAAGATAATCATGATTAATAGTTTGGAGTGTGTCAGCCTATAAAAGTAGTTACAAATTGGACACCAACGAGTCTCCTCAATAGTCCGTCTCTAACTTTATTGGGAGAGAATAAAAAGAAAAAAAATGTGGGAACAGTGTCTCCTGGAGGCTGAATGTGGTACCACATCCAATCTCCTAAAGTAACATTGTCAAAAATTCCTTCAGAAACGAAGATCATGCCCTTTTGTTTTGGCTGGACAAAATCATCTACCCTTGCTACAAAACAATTAGAAGAGTGCTAGGTCAGTCTACACAACTCCCTTGATTTTCATATCATGCTTTCCCAGAGCTGATTAACTATGTATGTAATTGAAAATCACTAATAGCCTTATTAAAGGAAACTATAAAGATCAGGGCTGTCAATTCTAGCCACAGGTCACTTTCCTGAACAATCAGAAAATGGTATCACTCAAGGGGCCTTAAACAGGAGTAGGAAGCATAGGAGCAGTTTAGAGCCAGCTCCAGCTCTTGGTGGTGGTGGGGGGCTCACAGAGCACTGTCAGTTTCTGTGCTATGAATATTTCCACCATGGACGATTTCAACTTGTCACTGTGATGTCTTGGAAAATAAAAGCCAGAAGAGTTTCAGAGTAGCTGACTATTATATGTATACAATAGCCTTAAGAACATAGAAAAAATGTTAATGCAGTAAAAAGGCAGGCACCCGTGGCTCATGCCTGTAAGCCTAGCTACTCAGGAATCTGAGATCTGAGGATCATGGTCCGAAGGCAGACCAAGCAGTAAAGTCTTAGGATTCTTATTTCCAACTAACCTTCCAAAACTGGAAATGTAGCTGTGGCTCTCAGAGCTCTAACTTTGAGCAAAACAAGCTAAGGGACAGCACCCAGGCCCTGAGCTCAAGCCCCAATACTGGCACCAAAAAACAAGAAAACAAAAGAAGTAAAACAATTAGAAAGGTATGAGATACAAGTGTTATTTTTAAAAATAAACCTTTAATTTTGGAATATTTTTTTTGGTGCTAGGATAAGACTGAATATAGAAGGCAGATATTACAAACAAAAAAAGACTAAAAAAAACTTGTCTTGCCATCAGAAAAAATTAAAGTGATTTTCTTTTCACCCCATTGCAAACAAAACTCATGGTATTCATTGACTCCAAGTGGGTAAACCAGCTCTGTTCTCAAACTCTCCTAGTTGCATTCACTAGTTCTAAGCAGATCCTGAAGTAGGAGTCTTACACCTTCAGAACTGTTTCCATTGGGTTCAAAAGAAAAGATGGTTGATCATGCCTCTCAACATTAAGACTCCAACCAATGCAATGGACAACAGCAGTAGTTGCTCCGTGTGGTTTCTTCAAGTTCCAATTGTAAAATGAGAAGGACTTTGCAAAGCTTCACGTTAGCCAGAAGTTCTACAACTCACACTATTGTATCAAATTTCCCAAAACAGTTACATTAAAAAAATTGTTTTGAGCATTGATGTTCAGATATCCTATACATCCCGATTTGACTACCATACCTTGGACATCTGCATTAAAACATCACACGGGAACCCTAGAAACGTGCACAATCATTATGTGTCGATGGAATACACCACAAGTATTTGAAGCCCCACCTTTGAAGACATGATGTTTTTGACTTCCTCGTCCGCAGCACAGTGGGTGCCCGCCAGGTCTGGGTTACTACTGCTCATCACCCTGGCCTGCAGCAGCTTTGAGTTCACAGCTGCAGCAGATGTCCGTCCGTACGTGTGGTAGCGAGGGTCAGAGAGAGATGTGGGTCCACCTGCACAGCATCCGACAGACAGAGACATGTCCACAGACAGAGAGGATCAGAGTCACTTAGAGTTTATGAGGAGGACCTGAACAGGGAAAGTGGGCTGTGGACTGAGACCCGATCAGACTAAGCCTTGCATGAGAACATCATTATTACAGCCCTCTGGAGACGCAGTTAATGTTTTAGAGGGGAGGTAAATGGCACCAGGAGCTAGAGGAGCTGTGGAAACTGGAGACCCAGCCTGGGCATCACCCTGTCCCTGTCCCTGGGACTCAGGCCCCAGGAAAGCCACAACTTCTGAGTTCTCCACAAAAGCTACACATGTGAACTCTGTTTTTCATTGCTCAAAAGTCAAATGGGTTATAACCTTGCAGGTCATGAAGCAAAGTCACAGGAAACTCCAGAGGTACTTGAGTCTTAGGATAAATAAACCAAGTCCGTCTACTAGTATCACAGGTTTGTAAAAGTCCACTGAAATGACTGTTGGACGTGACAGAGATTGCACACTAGTTAAGTCCCGTTTTTCGGGGCGCAGTTCTGTGAGCTCTGTCGGTGCCAGTTTTTCATGTCACACCACCCAGAGGTGCTGGCTATGATTATCTACATATGTAATCAAGAAGAATCATTCATAGCTGATTATTATCATTTCAGAAGTTTACTTGGTGGGAAATAGGAAAAGGGATTTTTTTAAATGAAGAGTTTATGCAAATGCAGTAATGGTACTTACTAGACACTATGCTGAAAACGAACTTGTAGTGTGGGGATGAGAAGGAAAAACTGGGAGAGCATGAGGGAAGGGGTGACAATGACCAAAAAGAATGTAGCCAGGTGCTGGTGGCTCACTCCTGTAGTCCTAGTTACTCAGGAGGCTGAGATCTGAGGATCATGGTCTGAAACCAGCCCAGGTAGGAAAGTCTAGGAGACTCTTACTTCCAATTAACCACCCAGAAAACCAGAACTGATGCTGTGGCTCAAAGTGGTAGAGTGCTAGCCTTGAGCAGAAGAGCTTGAGGACAGTGCCCAGGACCTGAGTTCAAGCCCCATGACCACCACCACCAACAACAACAAAAAGAAATGTACCCTACCTGACTTATGTAATTGTACATCACCTTCATAATAACAATTAAAGAAGTTTAAAGAAAGGAAAGTTTAGGGACCATTGCTACCACTACCACCATGTATAGCTGCGATTTTTTCCTCATCATTATTGCCCTAAAATTCTAGGCACTAGTCAACACTTATTAATTATTTAAAGAAGGATCATAAATTATTGGGTAAGCAGACACAAGAGGGAGGAAAACAGGGAGGAAGAAAGATCTAGAAAGAAACTTCATTTTGGCACTTCAGTCTTATATTCTGAGAAGCAAAACTGAACTTTCGGACATGGTGTGTTACTTCGAATTACATGGCGATGGGGTGAAGTGGGGTACCCTTGCCCCCTCTCCCCTTGAGCTGCCCTACCCGACTTGGAGACATCCCTGTGCAGCTCAGGTAGACGGAAGACGTAGTACACGTAGGCCGCCAGCAGGCAGTTCCTCCCGTGCTGGTCCTTGCTCAGGTCCTTGCTGTTGTGCAGGCTGTTGGCAATGGCCACCACAGACTCGAAGGCGAACTGGGAGAAGTTGGCTGAAGAACCGAGAGGTACATGAACCTGAGGGGATTGCTCTCCAGGCTGGCGATCGTGAATCCTGACAGTTGATCATCACCTGAACTAAACTGGCTCAGCTGAGGATGGGGGAAGCCCCCTGAGCAGGGGAGCTTGAGTTCGCTCCAGCCATCTTGGCTCCGCTGACTATAGATATGTCCACATCCTCTCCTTTTATCTACCGCCTCCTTGTGGGCAGGAGGGTTCTTTACAATCAAGACATGTCCAGACATCTCTCTGGAGTTATAAATTGGGGTCTGTAGGCCAGTGTTATCAGCATCCATGGGAATCTGTCTGACATGTAACTGGGAACACACAGCTTCCGAATCTGCAACCCCAAGAAGATTCCCGTGAGCCTTACAAGGCTGGTGGCTCACGTCTGTAATCCTTGCTACTCAGGATGCTGCGATCTGAGGATTGAGGCTTGAAGCCAGCCTAGGCAGAAAAGTCCAAGAGACTCTTATCTCTGATTAACTAGCAAAAAGCTGGAAGCGGAGGTATGGCTTAAGTGATAGAGCACCAGCTTTGAGCAAAAGCCAAGTGAGAGTATAAGGCCCTAAGTTCAAGGCTCAGTACCAAGACAACAACAAAATGAAACAAAACAGATTTTTTGACAGCACACAATGATTAGAAATGAGCTGTCACACTGTACAGACTTTTTTTTTCTTTTTTGGTGCTAGTCCTGGGGCTTGAACTCAGGGCCTGGGTACTGTCCCTGAGCTCTTTTGCTCAAGGCTAAGTATTCTAGCCCGTGACACTGTGTCATTGTGAGCAACACTGTGATTCACAGTGTCACTTCAGTTTTCTGGTGGTTCATTGGAGATAAAAGTCTCATGTATGGATTTTCCTGTCTGGGGTTGGCTTCAAACTGTGATCCTCAGATCTCAGCCTCTTGCATAGCTAGGATTACAGGCATGAGCCACCAGAGCCCAGTTGTAAGATTCTATTTCAACTAACAAGCCAGGTATGGTGGTGTACAGTTGCAATCTCCAGTACACAAGAGGCATAGGTAAGAGAATCGCAGTCCAAGGTGGGTCCAGGGCTGAAATACCAGACCTTACCTATCAAATAACTAAGGGGACTGGAGACGTGGCTCAAGTGATAAAGTGGTAGAATGCCTGGCTAGCAAGCACAAGGTCCTGAGTGTAAGCCTCAGTACCACCAAAAATAAATAAGAAAGCCAATAAAAGAGAAAGAAAACCTCTCTGTTGGCCAAGAAAACAAATATGTCTTAGAGGCAAATTAAAGCTATCAATTATCAGTAGTAATTAGTATGTAAGTATATTTGACATACTGCCTATAATCATTCAACGAAGGTGATCAAAACAACAACATTAAGAACTCTATTTTATTGTTCTCTTTCTTTCTTTCTTTTTAAATATTCAGTCTCAACAAACCACAGATTCTGCATCTCTTGAACTCACACTATTAGTGAAAAGGAGGCCGGGGATGTACCTCGGTGGAACCCTTGCCTAGCATGCACAAGTCCTTGAGTTTGACCCCCAGAACCACAAAAGAACAAATAAACAAAACTATCAGAAGAAGCTGGGTACTGGTAGCTCACACCTATAAATCATCCCAGCTACTGAGGAGGCTGAGATCTGAGGATCATGATTCTAGGCCAGCCAGGGCAGGAAAGTCCATGAATGAGGCTCTGATCTTCCAATGAACCAACAAAAAGCCGGAAGTGGAGCTGTGGCTCAAGTGGTAGAGTACTAGCCTTGAACAGAAAAACTCAGGGACAGAGTCCAAGCTTTGAGTCCAAGCCTCAGAACTGGCACCACAAAAAGAAAAATATATCAGTTCAAAGGAAGATCACAGTGCTTCCCATATCACTGAGCAGAGTCCTCCCTACTCCCTACAGGCCCTCCCTGTCCCCCAGCCTGGCCTTCCCTCCAGCCCTGCACAGCCCCACCTGTCTGGCCAGCAATGACCATGGGCTGCACGGATAGCTGGAAGAGCTTGTCCAGCACCAGGTGCAGGAAGAGCACCAGCGGCTCCAGGCGGGAGGAATTCAGCCAGATGATGCTGAGCTTGAGCTCATGCTCCAGCGTGCTCTCACTGATCTTCTGGTCCAGCACTCGGATGGGGAAGGTCATCTGACTCTCCAGGGAGTGGCAGAGGATGAAGAACTTCTCCAGGTGGTTGTCCTGAGAAGGCAGAAGAGCATCATGGAGAGCTGATCCTGTCAGTGTTTACCCAAGGACGTATAAACACCAGGCTTCAGCTATGTACTGAGCAACTTCCCAGCCCATGTTTCAGATCACACACCCACTGCCTTGTTACCAAGGCAACAAACTGCTTTGTACACAAAATAGCACCTTTCAATAATTACTACCCGACGAAAATCCTGATTTAGCCACCAACACGAACCCCAATAGGCTTACAAGACTATTTACAAAGAGCCAAAGGTTAATTTGTTGTTGTTTTATCCGCAATGATCTTGTTTGTATGTTTTGCTGGTCCTGGGGCTTGAACTCAGGGCCTGGGTGCTGTCCTTGAGCCTCTTTGTGTCTAAGGCTAGCACTCTACCAATTGAGCACCACTTCTGGCTTTTTCTGAGTAGTTTATTGGAGATAGGAGTCTCACGGACTTTCCTGCTCAGGCTGGTTTCACCCCCATGATCCTCAGATCTCAGCCTCCTGAGTAGCTAGGATTATAGGCCTAAGCCACCAGCACCTGGCTTCATTGATCTTTCTTCATTGCCCTGGGGCCGTTTCTCAACTGCCCTCCTCCTCATTATTAGCCTGCTGGGTCCACTTTGGTTTGCTATTGTGCTCCTTACCTGGGTGTGAACAGAAGAGACAGCTTGCACTTCAATATTAAATACCCCCTTATGACCTTCGGCCCACTTAATAGGGAAATTCTGCAATGGGACTTTCTGTGGTAAAGAAGAAAACAATAAATACAAAGGTTAGCAATCCAATCCCTTCTTCTGAATTGGAGTCACATCAGGGTCCCACAGATAAACCACTTCCCCACCCCCAACTCTAACGCGACAGCATCAGGAGCCTTGGGTTCAAGTTCAATTCTCTGCACTGAACTAGTTATTTTGCTTGGACAAGTCAATCTTCCTTGTTGGGCTTTAGTGTTCTCAGGTTCCACTGTTCCCAGCAGAGAGCTGAAATAGGTGATCTGTCTTTGAGCTCCCAGGAATCAAAATAAAGTCATTTCCCATGAATCACAATCATTGGGACCAAGAGTAAAATACCTACACATGAAACTCCAATGCATTTGAATGCTGGTTATTGCTTCCTCAAGTAGCAGTCCTGCTTGGCCTTTGCTTCTTCAGTAAATGAGTTATATTTGCCTCCTATCAATGCCTTTGTAAGCACAAGAGGCAGCTTCTAGGCCTCAAAGTCCCCTTGGAAACAATTCTTTTAGACATAGCCCGAGGTGTTGAGCATGAAGGGCCCAGCCTGGGTTTTGTGTCTCTTACATTCTTTTCTTTTCTTTTTGAGGATGGTACTGGAGTCTGTTGAACTCAAGGCCTCACACTGGCTAGATTGGTGCTTTTACTACTGACTCATGCCGCCAGCCCTACTTTTTGCTGGTTATTTTGCAGATAGAATCTGGCAAACTTATCCTCCTCGGCTGACTCTGAATCTCCATTCTCAGATCTCAAAGCCTCCTGAGTAAGCTGGGATTACAGGTGTGAGCCTCCAGCACCCAGCTTGTCACTCATTTGAATGGAAGAAAGCAGGTTGTGTTTGCAAAGGCAGAAAGTGTGCATGGGAGACCAAGGCCTGCAGAACTAGCTAGGGTGAGCCAAACCAGATCCAGGGTAGGCTCCAGCCCCTAGACAAGTTCTGTTGGGTCCATAGTGTGTTGGAAATGTGTAAAATTAGTTGCTAGCATTCCAAAGTCAGACATGCTCATACATTGCTCATTTCTTTTGAGAAGTAGAAGATCCTATACCATCAGCCCCGGACCCCCACCTGGTCCCCACCTGCAGAGCAGAGCAACAGCCAGGACGTTGGGAAGAATGGAGAAGCCCCAGCGTGAAGAAATTCTTCCAGGGTCAGTTCACCTACAGTGTTTAGCAGCCTCCTGAGGACACTAGAATGGGAACCTTCCATACACATTTTCAGCTGTGTAGTAACCATATTAAAAAAAAAAAAAAAAAGTAACCAGGGGCTGGGAAGGTGGCTCAGTGGTAGAGCGCTTGCCTTGCATGCATGAGGCCCTGGGTTCGATTCCTCAGCACCACATAAGCAAAAAGAAAAAAGCTGGAAGTGGCGCTGTGGCTCAAGTGGTAGAGCGCTAGCCTTGAGCTGAAGAGCTGAGGGACAGTGCCCAGGCCCAGAGTTCAGGCCCCACGACCGGACTCCCCGCCCCCAAAAAAAGTAACCAAAGATGAGGGACAAGGCCCAGGCCCTATGTTCAAGCCCCAGTACTGGCACACACACACAAAAAGATAATAAAGAGGAGAATGTAAAAAATAATTTTGATGATATATTTCATTTAACTCAATAGAGTCAATATTTTCTATCAATATGTCATCAGTATCAAAATTATTGACATATTTCACATTGTTTCCAATACTGACTTTTTAAGATCCAGTGTCTAATTTACTTTAACTGATTCATTTTACAGTACTGAGTTTCAACTCAGGGCTTGGTGCTTGCTAGGTAAGTGCTTTACCACTTGGTCCTTGCTCCAGCCCACAGGACCTTGTTTCTACTGGCTCACTTCTGGGTGTAGACCAGCCCCGACTTGTGTCTGTCCAGCAGAGAGGCTGCAAGGTGCCTACTGAGAACTTGAAATGCCCGTGGTATTGTGATGGTGAAAAGCAGTCTGGATTTTCAAGCCATGTACTACAATACGACATGATCTGATTTGCTTCAAAGAAGTACTTCATGGATGTAAACCTCCATCACAGGGACCGAGAAGCGTGGAAAAGCAAGTCCGAGGGCCAAAGGAAGGGACCCACAGGGCGGTGTTCAGATGGGCTCTGCCGCTGTGAATGGCACAGGCCAAAGAGGACCCACCAGAAATAGGAAGGGGAGGGGCTTTGCCAAGGGCATCTTTGAGGAATAAAAAGCTCCAGTTTCCATCTAGATGGCGACCCCCGAGTCACAGCAGAAACCACTAAATGCTGGCCTGAAAGTATTTTAGAAGGACCCTTTAGTTGCCTCCGCTTCTATTTTGTTGAACTCAGGGCTGGGTGCTATCCTAGATCTTTTGTGCTCAAGGCCAGCGCTCTACCATTTTGAGCCATACACAGCTCAAGGTCTTTCCTGACCTGGCTGGCTTTGAACTGCGATCCTCAGATCTCAGCCTCCTGAGTAGCTAGGATTACAGGCGTGAGCCACCAGCGCCCAACTTTGCCTCCTCTTCTATAAGCCATCAGATGCAAGGTTCACGTATATTCTGCTTGGGATGAGGTTTCTTTCTCAGTCAGGTTTGTCTCCCTTTCTATCAGAACAGCAGGTGCTGGGAGGCGACCACAGAGGATGCGGCAGTGAGCACCCTTGGTCCCATTAAAGGAATGGTAAAGGTGAGCTAGGACCAATGCTGAAAGGTAAAAGTGCTGCGGGCTGGTCTGCCACTCACCTCGGCGGAGTGCATGGAGTAGTTGGGTGGCAGCTTTTCCAGGGCGACTGGGAGACAGTAGGATCCCGTTTGAAGCCGCTCGTTCAAGAGGATTGGCAACCACTGAGACAGATGATGTGAAGAAAAATAATATTTATCGCAACATATAATTCTGGCAATTTCTCCAGTTCACAACCATCAAATGTAACTAACCAGGGATGAGCTATTCTGTTGGTCTCTTTTTGGCAGGCATAGCCATCCAGCTCTTTGCATTTTAAATTCTCTTTGAGTTCCTAAGATGGTAATATCAACAACTTACAGGGCTGGGAAGGTGGCTCAGTGGTAGAGCGCTTGCCTTGCATGCTCAAGGCTCTGGGTTTGATTCCTCAGCACCACATAAGCAAAAAGAAAAAAGCTGGAAGTGGCGCAGTGGCTCAAGTGGTAGAGTGCTAGCCTTGAGCTGAAGAGCTGAGGGACAGCGCCCAGGTCCAGAGATCAGGCTCCACAACCGGACCCAAAAAAAAACAAACAAACAACTTACTGACTTCAGAGTCAAAAATAATAGCAAGTTTCCCTTTACAGCCAATGTCTCTGTGTGTTAGAACATCAATGTTCATTTTACCTTTGAAGTTTTTGAACAAATCCCTTTTTTTTTTTTTTGCTGGGTACTGGTGGCTTACACCTGTAATTCTAGCTACTCAAGAAGCTGAGATCTTGGGGAATCATGGTTCAAAGCTGTGATCCTGCCCAGACTTTTCTGGGTAGAAAAGTGTGTGAGACTCTCATATCCGGTTAACCAGCAAAAAGCCTGAAGTGGAGGTGTGGCTCAAGTAGTAGAGTACCAGCTCTCAGCTAAAACATCAAGCAAGAGCTCAAGGCCCTGACTTTAAGCCCCAGTAAAGATCCTGAAAAAAAAACTGAATTTTCTTTTTTCTTTTTGGTTGGTCTTGGGGCTTGAACTCTGGGCCTGGGTGCTGTCCCTCAACTCTTCAGTTCAAGGCTAGTGTTCTACCACGTGAGCCACAGTGCCACTTATGGTTTTCTGGTGGTTTACTGGAGATAAGAGTCTTTCAGATTTTCCCACCTGGGCTGGCTTTGAACCAGGATCCTCAGATCTCAGCTCCCAGGATTACAGGCATGAGCCACCAGCGCCCAGCTGGAATTTTTTTTTTAAAAAGAAATAACTTTCCCCATCCCCCTCCTCCAGAGGGAAAAGTACTAGTTCCTTAAGTGGACCAGATATATTAAATCTGGAAATAACTGTAATGTAAATGAGGATTCTTTCAGCATCTGCCACCCCATCTCTTTGCATTTGTGATTTCTTGTTTGTTTGAGAAGTGAAGTCATTTCTGCTTTGGGCTAGCCTCTGCACATTTTGCTCCATTTTGCTGTCTGCAGGCTCCTAGCCAGTGAACAGGATGGCCCCATTTGCCTCTTAGGGCCTCTAGATATAGTGTAATCAGGCAGGTAGACAGCTACTCACTGAATATCCCAGGAGGCTTTCCACGGAGGGGCCCTGCTTCTGCTGACAGCTGATGTGATAGAAGGTGAACAGGAGGTGGTGACTTCCTGTGAGCTTAGCAGGGAGCTTAATTTTCACTTCCTCATAAAAGTCCGGAGACCTGTTTCAAAAGCATGGATCCACAGTGTTAGCTGGCTGGATGAGTTATAACTCCGCCCAGTAACGCCGCAGACCCTTTGCTCTTGTTTGCCCGCCTGGGGGTTTTTCATTTCACATTATTCTGCTGAGAGCTAACCCAGTTGCTGGCTATCCTTGATTGGTTGCTGACTGTGCCCGGGAAAATGAATTCCCCCTCATAATGGGGGTAAAAAACAATCCACCCATCTGAAGAGGTGATGCAAATCAGCATTCTATTATAACCCCATTTCCAGCTCCCAAGAACAGGGCCCTGGTGCGCGGCTATACTCAGGGAGGGACTGGAGAAATCAGGCTGGTGTAGGCAGCCTAAGAGTCTGGTTTGGGTAGATTACCAAGTTCAGGTGGTTTGCTAATAAAGCTTTATATACATTGTCCTGTTCACCAGGCCACATCTAGCCAGTGTGGAAATGAGCGACCTGAATGAACCCGGTTGCCAGATCGGGATCAAACCCTATTCTCTAACATGGTACAGATCTCTCTCCTCTACCTGTGGAATGTAAATAATGGCTGAAACACTCTATGGCTTAAGGCATGGCTCAATTACGAGTTTGTCAGTTTTTTTTCTTTGGTCCACTTAGAGGAGGTCAATTGAGGCAGGTGAGCAGTGAGCTATAGAAATGAGGATCCAGCCAAGGAGAGTTGGGTTTGCTTCCGAACCCCTCTGGTATCTCGGAGCAAGTTAGGAGATTGGGTCCCTTATTGAGCACTATGCAATCTCTTGGTGGTCCCTGTGCAATCCAAAGTATTTTCTTCTTGTAGGCTTAGGTAAGGTGAAAATTACGCATTCATAAGGTAGAATTATGGAATGGGCATACCTTTCCCCCTTACCCTCCATTCCTGAATTGTAAACCAAGTTGAGAAATAGTCATCCAAGAAGTTTAGGACAAACAGGAGATACTGGGGCCCTCTAAGCTTACGGTGAGAATGGGGAACTGTACGTACTTGTTGTGATAGGTGATGGCTGTGTACACTTCCCGCAGAAACTCAGGCCCCGTAGACTTCCCAAAGATGACCTGTTCACCATCACAGAAAACATCAAATTCACAGGGATTCCTGGTCATCTCAAATCACCTGCGCGCCAACAGACGCTGGGCACCCAATGAGCTCTGGTCTATTACGAGTCACGGGTTGTACAATTGTCCCTACACACCATCTATGAAGCATGAACCGAGATTCCAAGTGGCTTGCGGTGGCCACAGGTGACCACGGAAAACCAGTGCTGTCTTCTTCCTGCCTCTCTTCCATTGGGGTCCACAACAGAGCAGTCAGACCCCTTTGCCCTCAGTGAGAGAGCTCTGGTGCAGGGCCTCTCCCCTCCCAAGCCTGGCCTCCGCCATGTGGGTGAATCAGATCTCCCCTGCTCTGTGCACACGGGAGCCTACCTTTCCTTGGGTCAGGAGCCAGCCCTAAGGTAGAATCCACGCTTTCTTCCAGCTGCAGTAATGCCTGCCCCAGGGCATGGTAACTGGCTGGAATTCGTGCACTCCTCTGAGTGAGTACCTTGGTTAGCCACAGGAGCTGTACCTGATGGTCCCAGTGGGTGACTTGCCAGAGGCCAGACAGTAGGGGGGAGGGCGGAAAGGAAGCTTGGGTCCCTCATATCCCTTTCCAAGCACCCTTCCTTCATTCCTCCCCATGGCCATAAAAGGACACTTGAATCAGATAGATGAGTGAGCATGAAGAGGAAGTTAAAAAAAAAAAGTAGCTGGGTACTGGTGGCTCACATCTGTAATCCTAGCTATTCAGGAGGCTGAGATCTGAGGCTCACAGTTCAAAGCCAGCCCAGGCAGGAAAGACCATGAGACTCTTGTCTCCAATTAACCACAGAAGAGGAGATGTAGTTTAAGAGACACCAAAAACAAAAAACAAAAAACAACCCCCCCAATTGCCAACCCCCCACAATAGTAGCTATTTGAGGGGCAGAAACACCTGGAGAAAATCCTCTTAGTAGAAAGACCACTTTTTTCTTGTGTTTTTTTTTTTTTTTCCAGTGCTAAGGATGGAACTCGGGGCCTCGTGCATGCTAGGCTAAGAGTTTTGCTGCTGCCCACATACCCAGCCCAGTAGAAAAGGGATGTTAACACAGCTCTATGACTTATGGAAAATAATCATAGCTAAAGCACTCAGCTCAAGAGGACAGATGTTGGCATTTTGGTTTCCTTAGTGAAGACTGGACACTAGGTGTTCAGGGTGAAGCTCCTTTCTCACTATGTGTTGAGCTGGTGTGGGCTGCTTTGTGTCTTTTATCAGGAGATATGGCGTGATGCTTGGGCAGGTGTGCAACGCATACGTGTAGGGAAGAAATTCAGCTGACATGGTGGACACAGTGAGACCATCTCTTTACTCTATGGACTACTACTGCCCAGGGCCTGTGTGGTGAGACCTTGGAACAGATTTTGGTCTCTAAAATGTCCTCTATTTATCTCCAAGGTTCATAGTTTACTGTAGAATCAGTTGAAAGAGAGAGACTTTGAATTCAGATCACCATCCTTTCTCCATCATTATGTCAGGAGAGACACTGGACCAGGTTAACAGCCCCTGAACGTGTTGACTAGCAATTGTCCTTGGATGGAATATTGGATCCTTTGGGCTGGGGTGTGGCTTGGCTGGCAGAGTGCTCTCCAAGGCTGCACAAGGCTCTGGGTATGATTCCCTGGACCCGAGGAGGAGGTGAGGAAGGCTATTCTGGTCACTGATGAGGTCTGGGTGTTGCCTATGTGAATTGATAAGGAACACACAGGTTCTTTTGGTTGGAGGCAAATATTAACTCCCTCTTTACCGGCATAGCATGGCTAGGGTCTTCTCCACACATGAACTGGATTTTGATTGTGATGTTCCGGGCTGATGCTAGCTTGTTAGCGAAGTTCAGCCTCTGTGGGTAGACGTAGAGAAGATTTCTGGAAAAAAAAAAAAGATAAAGACCAATAATCAAGATTTAGAACTTAGGTCAGGCATAGTAGTTCATGCGTATAATCCCAGCACTTGAGAGGCTGAGGCAAGGAGGATTTGAAGTTCTAGGCCAATCTGGGTGACCTAGGAGAACCCTATCTCAGAATTAAACAACCACAAAACAAGCAAAACAACAGAAAAAAAGGTCTAGAGTTTAGTTTAACCAAGTTTTCTAATGAATGGTCAGGCCTGTGCTCATACACAGACTATTCTAGAGAAGTTTTTCCCTTAAGGAATGAGCTATTGTTGGAGAAGTATGAAATAATGATGCATTTCACAAGGTTTCATTGTGGTATTTCTATGCCCACAATGTACCCCCGAAAAGGTACTCCTTTATTCCCCTCAAACAATGGCTTATTGCTAATTAATTGATTTCCATCAAAAACCAAATGCTGGAACTAGAGGCGTGGCTCAAGTGGTAGAGCTCCAGCCATGAGTGGAAAAACTCCAGTGAAAACTTGAGGACTTGAGCTCAAGCCCCAGTACAAGAAAAAGAAAAAGAAAAAGTAGTTATTTTCCTTGGGGCTCTTGTATGATCTGGCTCTTTTGTAATCTCTCCAACTTTCTCTCTGTGGTTTTCCTACACTGGCTTTTCCTCAAGGCCTAGGACATTTCAACCTTATCCCTAGTTCAGGGCCTTTCGACCTGCTGCTCCCTGACCCTCTCTGCTCCATCTCCTGCCATTCACATCCCCTGGGCATCTTAAATATTCTCCAGAAGCATGATTGTCATGGCTGCATAGCACTTTATATCATGTGTCATAACTTGCACTGGTGTCCAAAAAACAAGCCCTTTGGTTATTTCTCTGTTTCAACTAGAAGGTTGTGGCAAATACCGCGTCTTGTCCTCTGTGATGTCTTTTTTGGAAGAATCTTTTCTAAATCCTGTACTGCTCAATTTTCTTCCTCTGTGTATGAACTGAAAGACACCAGGCTACCTTTCCTTATTGTCTTGCTTCAGGGAATAATGAGCAGGATGAAAGGGGTGGAATACATCACAGGGAAGACAGCAGCAGCCTGTGGACTGGATGGTCCGCTTTACTGGCCTCACCTTTGCCATAGAGAAGGGCAGGCCGCAGGCCCCAGGCCCCAGGCCCCATGCATGCAGCCCCATTCTGCACAGCACCTGTGAAGGTACTGCTCAGCCCTGCACCCACCCAGCAGGCCACAGGTGCTCAGAGTTCTGCCCGTGCCAAGTGGAAGGGCCCCAGAGCACACAGCTGAAGGAGACCAGAGAAGACTGAACCCAGCATCCTGCTTTGGAGGCCAGCAAATGGACTCTCAACAAAGTGGAATGGCTTAGCCTCGATGCTTTACCCAAGGACCATCAGACTTCTTATGGACAAGAATGCTAAGTGATAACAGTTTGGAAAATTTGCCAGGCTCTTCAATAGATAAAAGCATAGGCAGCAATCTAATGAGCTGAAACCAGATAGAAGTTTATTATGAACAAACTGATGCCCAGGCCTGTGCATTCATCCTGCAGAAGACTTCTCTCTTAGGAGAATAATCCTAAGAATGACAATATCCAAGGATGCGTGAGAAGGTAGTCTGTACTCTACATAGGAAGCCTTTGTTTGGACAAGGGTATTTGAGTAGACTCTTTAGTGACAAGAGATTTAGGCATTTAGTATCAACCTATCTTTGCCTGAATGTGGTGAAGAAAGGGATTTCTTCTGTCACACACAGCACAGCAGAGGAAATGGGGCAGTTAGAAAGAATCCAACATCGCTGCCAGAGTCTTCAGGGGGTATCTCTTGCTTTCAAACTGTTTAGGAAACTTTGAATCCTTTCCACTCATTCAGCAGCATGTCCTGAACTTTCTTTTATTCTTTCAACCATTCACATTTATTTCTCCAAGCTGGGATGAAATCAGCACTTACACTACACATGCTAGGCAGGTGCTTTACTACTCAGAGCCTTTCTTCCTCCTCTTCTTCCTCCTTTTTTTCCTTATCCTCCTCTCCCACTTTCCGTGTGTGTGTGTGTGTGTGTGTCAATACTGGGGCTTGATCCCAAGGCCTTGTTTTCTTGCTTGGCTTTTTTTTTGCTCAAGGATAGCATTCTGCCACTTGAGCCACACCTCTACTTTTCCTTTTTTGTTTTTTTCCCCTGGTTAATTAGATATAAGAGTTTCTCAGACATGTTTGCTTGGGCTGGTTTTGAGCCTCCATCCTTGGATCCCAGCTTCCTAAGTAGTTAGGGCTAAAGTTATGAGCTGCCAATACTTGAGTACCTTTATTTATTAGCTTTTCTTTTCTTCTTCTTTTTCCTTTTTGCCAGTCCTGGGGCTTGAACTCAGGACCTGGGCTAGGTCCTAGAGCTTTTTTTTTTTTTTCTTTTTGTTCCAGGCTAGCACTCTACCACTTGAGTCACAGCTCCATTTCCAGCATTTTGGTGGTTAATTAGTGATAATGAGTCTCACAGACTTTCCTACCTGGGCTGGCTTTTGGACCTCCATTCTCAGATCTCAGCCTCCTAAGTAGCTAGAATTATCAGCATGAGCCACCGGCGCCTGACCTACTGCCTTTTATATCCCGGAGAATAGGCAATGTCAAAGGATTGCTTTTAAAATAACAACTTAAACAAGAATGTGGTGGCACATGTCTATAGTCCCAGCTCCTTTGGAGGATTGCTTGAGCCTAAGAATTCAGGGTCAGTAATATAGCAAGATCTCATCCCAGCAGCAACAAAAACTAACAGAAGTCTACAAACGAAAAAAGATGCTTGGCCCCTCCCTACAGTCTAGACGAACGATTCATCAGCCTAATAAAGCACAAGTCTAGATCTGCCTGGATTTCAACATTTCTCCTTTGTTTCTCCCTCATCTACTTCCCAATCCCTGGGAACACAGGCCACATCTGTACCTGCCCAGCACGGGGCAAAGAACTGTGGGAAAAACAAATGACATTTGCTACCCTTCACCTGGCAGCAGATTCTTAGGACAGTTATTTTAGGGGACAACCTTAGAGCAGGGTGGCTGGAAGTGAAGTGTGAAGCAGAATACACAGTCCCTTCTTTACACCTTTCACGCCACTGCCTCACATGTGGAATCCAGGTAAATTCTTCCCACACTTCTGAAGGCCAGGCAGGATGCTGGATGTGTAAGTTGGCCTAGTGAACAGCTTCCCCCACCTAGAGATTTCATGCTCTGGGTATGGGCTACATTTCCTTGGCCCTCTTCCCCTACATACATCCCCCCCCCGGAAAAAAAAAAAAGATGGCCAAGGTCATGACTTTTTAATGAAAGAAGGCAGAAGCTGACAAGTACAGGTGAGAATAAAATCCTCTGCTAAAAAGGATAATAACAGCAATCTTTTGGGATCCTGGGGTACCTTTTTAACCTTTTCTTGGTCTTGGTCTTTAACCTTTTTTTGGTCTTTGTGTCGTATTGTAATAAATCAGTAAATAAAAATTACTGCAATAAGTCTCAAGAAAAAGGTCAGAGAACTGTCTGGTTCCAGAAAGTGAGAGGATTGTGCCCTCTAGTGGCCGAATAATGGAAGGGGGAGACTTTGATTTTTAAAGACTAGCGGTTGATTAGAATTGCCAGCCACTCTAGGCCTCATGAACAGAGATCTCTAGGTAAGACTGGACACCAGAGGCTGGCCATACCTACTCTGTCCCCAGCGTGGAGAAGATCCTTTCTGACTACAGAGTTAAGGGAGCTTACAAGGAGAATCTACTTTTTAAAACAAGATCAAGTCCCACTTGCCCCAATTCCATTCCTAACCATTTCACATCAAGGTTACTTAGGTTCATGCCTTTCCTCAGAAATTTCACTCACTCAGCCAGAGACAGGATGGCTACACCTGTAATCCTAATTCCTTGAAACATCTTAGATTGGGAGGATTAAAGTTTATGACATGCACAAGCACAAAGGTTTGGGGGGGACTCTATCCCAATAAAAAGCTGGACAAACAAGTTATAAATAGGATGACTGTAGTCCAGGCTGGCCCAGGCAAAAAAATGAGACCATATTAAAATTATATATATATATATATATATATATATATATATATATATGCAAAAAGGGCCAGCAATGTGGCTGCTCAAGTATGAGCAAACTTAGCAAGTTGGAGGGTTGAGTTCAAGCCCTACGATGACCCCCCCCACAATAAATTTTATTCACCACATTCTAGCACTTGATGTTCACTCAAGATCAACTCTGCCTCCACCCCTCCCATCCTCCCTCTGTCCGTCACAAGCTGGTCTTCCTTAAAATCCCACTGTCAGGCAGACAGCATTGCCTGTTAGGCCTGCGCTGGCTTTTCCTCTGAAGACACTCTGAATAGGAGGAGGCCTGAGAACAGCTAATTATCCATCAAAGAAATCATGGTGCGACTGAGACGCTTCTCAGCAAGCACAGTCCTCCACAGAGAGTCTGATAATTGGATAAATAAGGCTCTCAAGGGCAAGGAGGAGAGATGCAAATGCTCTTTCTGTGGCTTTCTTTAATGGAATCACTTGTTAAAGGGATGGCACAGAGCGTAACGAGCTCATTACAATCTCTGTGCCTGTGATCTCTGCACACACCCCTGTGGCTGCCCCAGGATGAGATGCCCTTGATGCCCTTGCTGGGCCTTGGTCCCGACTCATGCTGTGTTCTTTCTGCTCCCACCAGAAGGCAGCTGGCAGTTCAACCATCAGCTGTTGGATCACATGAAAAATAATCCAGGAGTTGGTTCAAACGTGTTCCTAAGCAAACAACCAGTATTAGAAAAAGGAAAAGGAAAAAAAAGCAATGTGGATGTGGAAACAGGAATGCTGAGCTCAGATTTGGATAATCCTTTGTAGCAACCACATTTCTACAGCTGTCTCCCATTCCAGAAATGCCGTATTTGTGCTGGTGAGGGCTGAAAATCCCTTGCCTGGGTCTGTCTCCAATCACAGGAGTCTACTTCTGGGCTTCCAGCTACGGAGGCTGAAGGTGGCCGGGTGGAACCACCAAGCTGCTGATTTGAGGTTCAGTCATTGCTGGGATGAGCAATGTTGAGCAACAGCTGGATCTCAGTGCAAGGATCTCATAAATACCTAGTCCTTGAGAGGCCTGAGCAGCTCTACTGTTAACAGAGGGTTTGATTTTGTTATAGGGATTCTGACGTTATAATAAAAGAAACTCTGATCTAGTGTTTTGTTTTTGTTTTTGTAATCGGTTGTGGGGCCTGGGCACTGTCCCTCAGCTCGTCAGCTCAAGGCGAGCACTCTACCACTTGAACCACAGTGCCACTTCTGGTTTTCTGAGTGGTTTATTGGAGATAAGAGTCTCACGGACTTTCATGCCTTGGCTGGCTTTGAACCGTCATCCTCAGATCTAAGCCTCCTAAGTAGCTAGGATTACAGGCGTGAGCCACCAGCTCTTGGCTTGATCTAGAGTTTTTTTTTTTAAAACTAAAAACAAAAAAAAATGAACAGCAGCTTACCAAAGTAGAGGTACCTAGGGACAGTACTCCTATGGGATGTAAGTTGAATCATGTCCTTCTTAGCCCAAAACTTACTTCATCCCACTAAAAGACAAGGTAAAGAAAGGAAACACCTCAAGAGGTGGAGGAAATGAGGCTTCTGATAGGCTAATAAGTCCTTGGGGGAGGAGGGGTGGATGGCAGATGCTTGTCAAAGGTGCCTTGAGTTCTACTCTCACAGTGATACACAGAGAGCTTTATCGCCATTCATTCCTGCATGTGTGACTGGCTGCCACTCACACCAGACCAGACAGCATCTGTCATTAGGACCACAGCACTGCTGTGCCCTACATGTTAAACCTGTCCCATTAGCACATCTAGAGTTCCTCAGCAAAGTCAAGGGAAATCTTTTCTAAAAGAAATAGGAGCCAGGCACTGGTGGCTCACACTTGTAATTCTGACTACTCAGGAGGCTGAGATCTGAGGAATGCAGTTCAAAGCTAGCTCCAATTAAGCACCCAAAAGGCTGGAAGTGGAGCTGTGTTCTCAAGTGATAAAAAGTGCCAGCCTTGAGCAAAGAAAGCTCAGGGACAGTGCCCAGGCCCTGAGTTCAAGCCCCAGAACCGGCATAAAGATAAAAACAAAAACAACAAAAAAAGAAGGAAAGAGTCAGGAACCTTTGTCCTTACCAACATGACAATACTTCTGGGAAGGATTCATTATTGAATGAGCTTAGAGGTCTTTTCTTAAAGGACCTTTCTTTATGTGAGAGGATGTGGGAGAGCCACGGGACTGCAGGTTTTTGAGGAGATAAAAGGACTAAAAAGAAGAGAGAACTAACAGAAGTAAGGAAGTGATGTCTCCCAAGGTACTTAGTCAAATTACCATACTGGCTTCACCAGACCTAAATGGATCGCTTCCATTTCCACCACAGAAATACGATAGAGGCTTAGGAAAGGGAAGAGTTAATCTACTCTTGGCTCAAGACTCACCAAACCAACCCCTCTAAAGCACTGATGAGAGAGCTGGAAAAAAAGAACTCTACACACTCAACAGCAGCACAAGAGGCTTAGACAACACGCTCGGGAAATTCCTTGGCGTTTTCATGTGGTGAGATTCTGAACCAAGTTCATTCTCTCGCTGTGTTCTCTTGAACAAGCTATCAAATATGGCAGCCAAGGAGCCAAGAACTGGAGGAAGTGTCTTCTACTATGTCTAAGAGTAAAGACCTGACTTCCAATCAGTAACTAACCTTGACCTTTCTGTGCATTGCGGGGGGTTCTGTTTTTCGTGATACCAAGTTGGGCCATAGCAACCCGCCTAGACTCGCCCTTCCCCGCACTCCTGTATCTCCTAATCACTCAGGGCACTAGCGCGTTCCAAACCCCATCATGCTGTAATTAAGGGATAATGGTTGCAGCAAGGAGTAGAAAGAGTTATAAATGACTCCCATGGGTGATTAAAGGCTGACAGGAAGATGAATAACTAGAATTCATTTGGTACAAGTTTATTCCAGGCCACAAGGCATTCTCCCCCCTCCTCCCCCCCATTATAGGATAAGGTTTCTGAACGGATACAAACAGCCTTTCAAAGCAAATAGGTCCACACCCTCATCTTCTTCTGGGGAAATGGGGAAACTGAATGTCTGTCATCTGGAATATGGATTAGGGGATGTTGGTTATGTGAGCTCTAAGGCTCTTTGCCTTTTCCTTGTGCGTGCATGTGTGTGTGTGTGTGTGTCTGTCTGTCTGTCTGTGTCTGTGTCTGTGTGCACGTGCATGCCAACACTAGGTCTTGAATCTAGGTCCTCAGTATTCTCCCTTAGCTTTTTTACCCAAAGCTGGCACTCTACCACTTGAGCTACACCTCCACTTCTGGCATTTTAGTGGTTAATTGGAGATTAAGAGTTTCGTAGATTTCTCTGCCCAGGATGGCTTCAAACTGTGATCCTCAGATCTCAGCCTCCCCCCCCCCCAAATAGGTGGGATTACAGGTGGGAGCCAATGGTGTCTGGTTTCTGTATGCAAACTTTAAGTGAAGATAGAAAAAAATACAATTCAATAATTGCAGGAAATCTGTGTGAACATGTGTGCATGTATATGTGCATGCATGTGTAAAGCCACAGGAAATGCAAGAAAGCCTGTGTTTTTCCCTTCATGGTAACTTTGAAGACTGGCCAGCAAGGCAGAGGGCTGTGGCTAGACACCAGAACTAAAGAAGATTTCATCTCATCAGTATGATTTGATGTTATGCTTTATGTAAAAACCCAGAAATAATAAGGCATAGTTTTTTAGGTTATAGAGGGAAAAATGCTTGATATAGCATTAAGAATTCTCAAAATAGGGCTGGGAAGGTGGCTCAGTGGTAGAGTGCTTGCCTTGCATGCATGAGGCCCTGGGTTCGATTCCTCAGCACCACCATATAAGCAGAAAAAGCTGGAAGTGGCGCTGTGGGTCAAGTGGTAGAGCGCTAGCCTTGAGCTGAATTGCTGAGGGACAGCACCCAGGCCCAGAGTCAGGCCCCATGACTGAGAAGAAAAAAAAAAGAATTCTCAAAATACACAAGGGAAGTACATGAGCAGCCATGCTTGTGGGGCATGTATGCTGACAAGTGACCCTTCCTAGTCTCCCATCTATCAACCACTATGAGAAATCAAAGCTAACCCAGCCTTTCAGGCCTTTAAGTCCAGCTCCTTGCTCTCCAGTATGCTAGATGCCATGCACATGTTGCTACTTCAGCTTAATGAATGAAAATGAAATAATATATTACATTAGTTGTGTTGAGCTGAAAATCTGTCTTTTAAACAAGTTAAAACACTGCAGCCACATGACTTCCTTTTATGTCCCTCTGCACAGAAGAAAAGCAGAGCTTTCTGGGCACTGGTGGCTCATACCTGCAATCCTAGCTACTTAGGATCCTAGAGGAGATCTGAGGATCATGTTTGGAAGCCAGACCAGGAGGAAAGTCTGTGAGACTCTTATCTCCAATTAACCGCCAGAATACCAGAAGTGGCACTGTGACTCATAATGGTTGCGTGCTAGCCTTGAGCTCAAAAGCTCATAGAGAGTGCCCAGGCTCTGAGTTCAAGCCTTATAACTGACACACACAAAAAAAAGAATAAAGAAAGAAAAGAAAACCAGAGCTTATTCATTTCCAGTAAGAGTGTATCCACTATAATCTAAATTACACTGATGAGGGAAGAAACCCTTTCTTGTAAAACAGAACCAGAATCTGGGTGCTGGTGGCTCATGCCTGGAATCTTAGCACCAGCAGGAAAGTCGGTGACTCTCACCTCCAACTAACTACCAGAAGAGCCAAAAATGGTAGCACTCTAGCCTTGACTGAAAAGCTAAGGGATAGTGTATAAATCCTGAATTCAGGCCTCAATACTGGCACCAAAGAAGAGAAAAAGAAGAGAGAGAGAGACAAGGACAGAGACACAGAGAGAAAGACACAGAGACAGAGAGAATCAGACAAACCATCTTTAGAAGATCTCTTTAGACAGAAGTCTTAGAGTTATCGTAGTTCATTTCCCCTCAAGCTTCAGAGGAGGCTGGAAGATAACAGATGCGTGATCCAGACAAAAGACGGACCGTGGGCCCTTGAGCAGCCTGCGTTTCTTACCTGTACACAGTATGAGGGACATACACTTCTCGGATGGGAAATTCCAAAATCTCTTTGTGTGGCCGAGTCCGGTTTTCGGGGAAGGGTTTCACAGGCAACATTTCAGGCGTCAGGCAACCGCTGATCACCTCTGGAGCGGGAGATATTTCCAGCTTGAGTAAGCCTAAAGGCAACACCACAGCACGTGGTCAGTAAAGACAGGATCATGCCATGAGGGACCTGATAATAAGCATAAAATATACAAGTCCAAGAGTGTTCTTAGTGCTTACAGCTAAATGGGAAAACCTCCTATCATGACAATGCTTTGGGGTTTGGCTTCTATAAAATAAATATCAAGAATTTAGTAGGAAATGAATTAGAGTTCCTTCTAGAACTATACAATATTATGAGTGCCTTGTTTCGGTAGCCTGGTAATCCTAGCTATACAGGAGGCTGAGACTTTGGAGGATCATGGTTTGAAGCCAGACTGGGCTAAATTTTTTTTTAAGATTTCATTTTCAATGAACCAGAAAAAAGCAGGGCTGGAGGTGTGGCTCAAGTGCTAGAATACCAGCTGTAAGCCCGAAAGCCAAGCAAGTGTTCACGGCCTGAGTTTAAACCTCAATACCAACACCATAAACAAACAAACAAAAGTGAACAACAAGAAACATAGTAAATTTCCTTCATCACCTGGAGTAAAAATGGATGGTTTTCAAACTCTGCTGTTCTAGGGTACTTCAGAAATGCCGTATGAGTCATTGTGCTAAGGATATCTCCTACCAACATATCTCACATTCTCTTCCTCTCCCTCTCCCTCCCCCCTCTCTTTCTCTCTCTCTCTCTCCCTCTCTGGCTCTTTCTGTCTCTCTGCAGATTTAACTGAGGGCTAAGCAAGTGCGCTATCACTTAAGCCATTTCCCCAGCCCTTCAATTTTTTTTCAGATAGGGTCTCATGCTTTTGCTCTGGTCTGGCTTTGGTCATGATTCTCATACTTCTTCCTTCCAAGAAGCTGGGATTACATGTGAGCAGCACCAGGCCCAGCCCCATGCACACTTTTTTTTATACTAAGATTCCATACAATGTTTTACTTGATAAAAGAGGGCTTTTCTATTCCAACAAGTATCTGATTATCTGAGAAACTAGACTTAAAGTACATTTGTAGAATGGACCCCTCAAGAAAAATACAAAGTATTGTAGGTTTACTAAAATCCACTAAGCAGACCACTTTAGATTCTTAACTTTGATGGCAAAACCCCACATTGTACTTGGAAAATGATTTTTTTTAACTGTAGTCTTAGGCCAAGAATGTCTAATTGCATTAAATGGTTGGGCATAGCCCAGGAGGATAAAGACAAGCCATCCATACCTGGGATTGACTTGACTTTTCTCTGTAAGGATGAAGATCTCTTGTAGTCAGCTAAGAACTTGAACAAGTCTTCATCACTAAGACGGTCTCCCTCCTGCGGGAAAAACAAGTTGGGTTAGTGTAGGTAGACATACTGATGCCTGTTGAATTTAGGGTCAGAGATTTGTAAGACTTTTGAGTTCTAACAAGAATGTCACCAAAATTGGAATGGATGGGACTTAAGAGTGCATTCCAAGGTAGACTGCACTTTCTGGGTGCATTTGAGAATTCTAGGGAGGTAAATTTTTTGTATGTGTGCATATACTGAAATTGGGGCTTGAGCACTCTACCACTTGAGCCACACCTCCGGCCTGGCATTTTGCTGGTTAATTGTAGACACAATTTCACAGACTTTCCTGCCTGGGCTGGCTTTTGGAGCAGGTAGGATTACAGGTATGAGCCACTAGTGCTCAGCTTAGGAAGTAGAAAAGAAAAAAAAATAGTCTTAATACTTATTGAGCAGACAAAGAATGCCATCTGGAATGGGCCATCTCCTATGTGTAACAGAATCCTGCCAAGCTGGCACAGGATAGCAGCTGGTAGGGAGAAGACATTTCTCAGTAGAGAAAGGACATCTTGGCCAGATTCTCTTCATAACCTTATTGAAGGGATTAACCACTATAATCAAGTTAGATACTTCGTAATAGTGGGGCAAAAGCACCACTTACTGTGTCTAACACTCAGTGAGCACCTACTGTGTCCTGGGCACTCTGAGAAGAGCTCTATATGCTTTGTGTCATCCAACTTCCCAATAGCCATGCGAAGCAAGCACCAGCAGCCCCTCTGTTGTAGATGATGACCCTGAGGCCTGGTGAGGTGAATTAGCTTTCTCTCCCCTCACTACAATACAATCCCCATAGAGGCCCCAGCATCTAGGCACAAATCCAGATTCACTGTGATGTAGATACCTGCTTGAAAAAGCTGTTAATGGTCATGGTGGTGGCTTTGAAGCTAGATCCAGCTCCATTTTCCTCCAGAGAGAGGGCTCGTTCGGACAGTCTTCTGGATTGGGACCAAGTCCTCCGCTCACCTGAAGAGCTTCTTCCTTTAAGACAAACAATTGCCTTTCTACACTGTACTTTGTTTGAACACACAGTAGTTATTCATTTGTTTTTTGCCAGGCCTAGGGCTTGAACTCAAAGCCTGGGCACAGTCCCTGAGCTCTTTTGCTAAGGCTAATGCTTTACCACTCGGAGTCACAGCTTCACTCCTGGTTTTCTGGTTGTTCATTGGAGATAAAGAGTCTCACAGACTTTCCTGTCTGGGTTGGCTGCAAAGTATGATTCTCAGATCTCAGTAGCTCAGGGTAAAGGTATGAGCCACTAGCACCTGGGCCTTTCACAGCAATCACTAATTTAACCATATTTAAGGTATGGGTAAAGTTGCTGAATGGGGTCACCATGGATCTGACCGCCATTGTTCCTCATAGACCCAGCCTTTGCTAGGTGAGGAGTCCTGCAGAGTGAAGGGTTGGTATCAGCCCTGGGCTCCCTTTCTGGAGACTAGGGCAGGCCAGAAGCTACCAGTATGAGTCCCAGGGCTGAAACCAGATCAGGCTCTCCTGATAAGCTTTATTTAGTCAGCTCTGGGTTTGCTATGGTTTTATTTCTACATCTGCATTCCACTGGGAGAGGTGTGTAGGACTCAAACAACCCTGAAGGCATCTGGGATCTCACCCTAAGTACACAGTGGTCAGCCTATGTACATCCAGCTTCTAGCTTGCCTCTGCTCTATAGGGCAGACTGGACATTAGGACTGACCTTTCTACTGGAGTCTATGGACAGGATCCTGAAACTTGGTGTAGTTGTTTTTCATCCCTCTTACTTAGGTAGAAGTCTTGTGGCTTTGAACCAGAGAAACTAGGGTTCTGTCGGGAAGAGTCAAATGGTCTAGAACTCTTATAGTTACAACCTGCTCTGGAGGGCTATCTTCTCCCTGATTCTTATCTCAAAGCCAAGTTGGAACTTCCTTGTGTCCACCTAAACACAGCACAAATACATTGCATCTCTGTGGTTCAGGGTACTTGATCTTAGCCAAAGAGGCTTCAGCTAAGCCCTATTTCTGAACTGTCTAGTTTACGGGGCCTGCCCAACTCCCCCACTTAAAGATTTCCAATAAGGCTATGCTCAGATGTTGGCATTAGAACAATTGTGATGAGCCAGTCTAAATGAAGAAAAGGGGCATTCATGACCCATTAGCAGTTACACAACAATAATAGCAAACAGTCACGCAATAGCAAACTCTTTCTACTCCCTTCTCTGGAGAAAGACAAACATTTCAGACATGGTAGAGATAAGAGGTAAGGGTGGGGAGAAGAGAAGAGAAACAGGATCTGTTGAGGGAGGGGAAAGCAAGAGGGGTTTGGGCTAATGAGAATGAAAGAGGATGGTCTAAACAGATTGTCAGCCAGCATAAAAACAATGAAACCCGCTCAAACTGTATTGGGGGAGAGATGACAGGGGTTCATTGGAATATACTGTATACACTCATGGAAAGGTTACAATGAAATATCTCCTTATATAGCTAGTAGAGCTAGTACATGCTAATTTTAAAAAGTAGCAGAGGTAACAAATGCAGAAGAAATCAAAAAAGGAGACAAATATTTGCTGAGTACAGAGGCATTTAGGAAAACAGAAACCTCGTTCTTGGCACTGGAGTTGGATCTACTGGGAATCTCTCAAACATTTAGGCAGTTTTACACCTTCACCTTGCAGGAAATTAATTGGTCACATCAAGGGAGAGGTGGTGAATGGCAATAACAAAAAAGAAACAAGGGAAATAATTTAGGACCGTACTAGATACCCTTTTGGCACCCATTCTTATTTTCACTGCACTTGGCAAAATAAACTTTCAAGAGAATGGATATTTTCCTGAGAACTGAGTCTTGCTTTTCAAAGTCTTTCCATCTTGGTTGTTACATTATAGATGTCTGACATTTCTTGTTATTTCTGAGAATTTTATTTATTTATTTGGTTGGGGGTTTTGGTTGGCCATGAGGCTTGAACTCAAGGCCTTGGCAGTTTACCTAAGCTTTCTTACACTAGGCTAGCAGTCTACCACTCTGAGCTACAGTGCCTCTTCTAGTTTCCTGATGGTTAATTGGAGATAAGAGTTTCATAGGCTGCTTCCCCAAGTTGGTTTTGAACCTTGATCCTCGCTTCTCAGCCTCCTGAGCAGCTAGGATTACAGGTGAGAGCCACTGGCACCTGGCAATAATTTTATTGTTTGACAGTGGGCATTGATTACTAAAAATATCTTTTTGTGGTGTGTGTGTGTATATGTTGGTACTAGAGCTTGAACTCAGGGCCTGGACATGTTATATCCACCGGAGTCACAGATTTGTGTGTGTGTGTGTGTGTGTGTGTGTGTGTGTGTGTGTGAGTGTGTGTGTGTGTGTGTGTGTGTGTGTGTGTGTGTCTCTCTCTCTTGCACTTTCAATCCTCAGATCTTGGCACTCTAAGTAGTTGCACTGACAGGTACATGCCAGCAGCTTTAGGCTTTGAAAATTAACTTTCAAAATGTTAAGGCTATAAGAACATATTTTAAATTCCATGAATGTCTGTGATAACTGGGGGAATCTGTTCAACCAAACATAAGCAAGTCAGCCTTGATAACGTCTATTCTGTTTATCCTGCCTTCTGCTTTCCCTGTGGATGGCCGAGGGTGGGCACACTTGGGAGCCCTCTGCTTCTGGATGTAGATGAGACTCTTACCAGCCACGGGCTCTGCTTCCGCTCCCTCCCTTTCAAGGGTGGAGAGGTTGAAAACGTTTGCTAAGCTAATGGGAGCCCAGGCGAAGGGCATCCGGTATTTCCCCAGACGCTGGCAGAAGGCCTCTGCTTGAAGTTTCAGTTTTTCAATCTTTTCTTTGCTCTAGAGGGAAACGGAAAGAGAGGAGCTGGAATAAACAATACAGCATCAGCACCACGCCAACTGCCCCTGTCTCACCTGACAGAGGTCCCCATAGACCAAACCCACCAAGGGAAAGGAACCAGCAGAACAATGACTGGCTCACACCAGGAGTCTCTTAGCAAGGAAACAGATTATACAAGGGAGAGATTAGATTCACTACATTCAATTAGTAAACTAGATCTTCTGTTAAAAGGAGACATGTACAGAGCTTTTCATACTGGTGAATTTTTTGTTGTGGGGCTTGAACTCAGGGCCTGGGCACTGTCTCTGAGCGCTTTTGTTCAAGGCTAGCACCACTGTAAGACACAGCACCATTTCTGGTATTCTGGTGGTTAATTGGAGATAAGAGTCTCACAGACTTTCCTGCCAGGGCTGGCTTCAAACCACAACCCTCAGATCTGAGCCTCCTGAGTAGCTAGGATTATAGGCATGAGCCAACAGCACCCAGATATGGTATAGTGGTAAATTTCTAAAGGATTCTTTCAGGTATAGTTACATGATTTTCATTCTCTTGAGAGAAACCGGAGGAAAAAAACTTAAGACATGATCTGTCAGATTTCCGAGAGCATGTGTTTTACAAAAGTCTGCTTTGAAAACTCCAAAAAGATCTATAGATTAAACAGAAACCGTTTTTGGTACTTGTTTACTAACAATAATTGCATTCTTTTTAAGTTCAGACTAAGTGATGGATTTTAAAACACAAGTGTGCTGAGTTCAAGCAATTTTATTTGAAGTTTATGAGTCTGGTTAAGGATATTTTTTCCCCCAAAAGGCTATGATCTGAAAAATCACTGAGGAGCTTTTGCAAATGGGTGCTGGGAAAAGTTATGGCGTAGGCTCCATCGGGCTAATTAATTTAGGATGGGGTGGTCATAGCCAATTCCCCACAGGACCACATCCATGTTGTGGAGGAGGCTTTGGCCCTGTTTTAGTGGTATGGGGTCTTGGAAGTCCTCTCAGGCAATGAGGTATGCCTTTGTTTCAATGGAATGTTATAGTCATTCATTGATAGCTAGAATCATGAGTGAGTTCAATACTTTATTTTCTTTTTGAAAAAGACCATTATTGATCACTGGTTTCTCTTTCCCATTTTGTTTAAATACAATTTAGACACAGTGTGTACTATGTCCCTGTCTGAAACAGTATGAAACCCCAAGAGTACCTCTGAAAATGTCTACTTATCCCAATATATCACCATTTTGCAATATTCAAAGCTCCTACCTTTCCACCTTCACTTTCTCTGATCACCATGTAAGGCTCTGCACAGTCTGCAATTTCCCCCTGTTGCAGGACTTTTTCAATCTAGCAACAAAAACAGTATTAAAACAGAGCAAGTGAACTACAGCCACGTAAAATAGAATCTATGCAACGATTACAATTAGGTTTATAACGAAATTTGATGACACAGGACAACCATAACGTTTTCTGATTAAAAAACAGTATACTGCATAGAGTTTTTTTTGGTAAGAAAAAATAGAGACTACCATAGAGTTTTTGGTGAGACAAATATCATAAAGGTACATTTCAAGGATGATAGTAGATACACAGCAAAATGTTAATGGTGGCTATCTTTGCATAGTGGAAGTATGTGGTTTTTAAAAATTTTTCTTCCTCACCCCAGAAAGAACGGCAAAAATCAAGAACTCTAACAACAACAGATGCTGGAGAGGATGTGGACAGAAAGGAACCTTACTTCATTGTTGGTGGGAATGTAAACTT